TTGTCGACATAAATGCACAATTTGCGGATGAAAAGCACGGGAGGAGAGGGCACACATACACAGATGCATAACCATGTATGTATGTATATTCAATGTACTTCCGGTGGCAGTGGCAGGGCAGGAGTGCTCATAGCTCTCTCTCTCTCTCTCTGTGGATGGGTCGCCTGGGTTCGGTTTTTGAAGTTGCTTTCAAGGCCCTTTGACAGTGGCTATGGCGACGGATAATACACACTTAATTGCTCAAAATGATGCGATTGTGGAGCGATGCATATGCCACAAGGGCACAAACACACACAACACACTCTGGGGTACAGAGTTCACCCAACTGCACCACCCGATTCGACGAATGGAAAGCTTCGTCACAGCTTTTTTGGCGCGCTGAATGGGCAGGAGGCTGGCAGCAGTAGGCTGGGCGGTAGGAGTGAACCATGAGCTACCCTGGTTATGTATTTAAGCCACAACAAAAGACACTCGAAAGCATATCATTGGCGTTTTGTGACGAGCTCCGTGCACATGAACCATAATTGCATTTAAAGGTTTTTGCACTCCTCTTACCCATTCCACGGCTCGCTGCCTCGGCCCACTCCTCTACGCTCTCTCTGTGGTTTCGTGTGTATGAAAACATGCAAAATGTGGTTCACAAACGACAGAAGCCAGCCAGCCAGCCAGCCATCGATGGGAGATTTGCAAAGCGAGATTGGGTGCGGCCATACAGGCACGATGAATCACCTAAAAGAAGTAAGCTAAAAGATTGAGAGTTTGTTTATTTGGAGGTGCTCACAGCAGAACGGTAAATGCATGCGAGCATAATTGCTTGTTGTTTTTTTTTTTGCTTGTAGCTGCATGAGCTCTGTCTCTCTCGCAAAAGCTTGCGCTCAAGCTTGCTCTCTGCTTTGACTTTGATCGCGGTTCTTATCTTGCGTTTGATCTGAGCTTTTGGCTGCTGCTGCAGTTCGGTGCGCTGTTGGAGTTTAGTGAAGCTTCAAGCATTCGCGTGTTATTTTTGTTATATCTAAGATTCCCCCTCCCCGTTGCTGCACACTTCCCCCGCACTCACTTCTCCCGCTTGTTCTTTCTCGTTCTCCTTTTCTGTTCGACCCACAAAAAAGCAACCGCATTTCTGCGTTTTACTCAAGTGCCTTCCACCACACACACACACACACACTCCATACTCCACACTCTATATTCCACACTCCTTGGCTACGTAGCACTCCACTTGAGCTCAGTACCCCCTGCCCCTGGTGGTAGTACCCCCTGCCCATGGAAGCATCAATTGCGACTCGCCTCGCCATTGTTTCAATTTCCATGTCGATTTGGTTGTTTTCATTTTGATGACCTCGCCGCCGCAGCAGGCAGGGAGCAGCAGCCGAGGCAGCCGTGGCATTCTGGAAATCTATAAATACTGGCAATCATTACGGGGGTTTCATATTTTTATTGCATATTTTATAAGAATCTGAATCTGAATCCGATGGAGGAACAGAGGCAGCAGCAGCAGCAGCAGCAGCAGCAGCAGCAGCAGCAGCAGCAGACTCCGTACTCTAGCCCTTCCCGCTCCTGGCAATCCAATTGTCATTCATGACAGCTGTCGATCAGAGGTCGAGCTGAGCAGAAATGGCGGCTGAAAAATGTTCAACAATAGTAACGAAGAACGGGGAAGGGGCGAAGAGGAGGGGTGAGCACGATTGAGAGGGGACTTTGGTTTGCTTTTGATTCACAATTTTACAATTCTCCCTCTCCCCTTCTTCTCTCTGTGTCACAGATCTCTCTCACTCCCCCCAGACTGAATGGAACTTTCAGTTCGCGCTGTGTGTGTGCTCTGTGTGTTTTTTGTGTAATTGCCACCTTTTGTTTGGTCAAATGTTTGGCATATTTTGTAAATTATATTCCCCCGGATTGATTTTGGATTTGTAATGGCGGAATTTGCATATGTTTATGGAAGGTTATGCGATATGATATCATAATCTATGGAGAGTATGCAAATCTCTAATAATAATAATGGCATATCTATAGCGATAGTAATTGGTAAGGATCGAAAAAACAGAAGCAGAAGAATACTTGATTGACTTGATGTGGGTACGAGAAAGTGATTCCAGCTAGGTCTGTATTTCTACCCACAACTATACACCAATGGTGATTGAATATCATATCTTAATATTTATTCGGATCCCTGATAATAAATTCCAAATGAACTTACAGGAAGAGAATCAATCCTCTCAAATATTCACTAGATACAATTCCCTTATTCCGGAATGGAAAACAGTCAAATTGATCAGAATTTTGATTTTCTCTTAGACTAAGAACATTTTAAGACAATCTTATTCCACTGCCTAGAGTCATTTACCGAATTACCTTGCGAATTACTAAGAACCTTTCTACAACTACAAATCGATTAGTTAATGAGCAAAATCGACGAGCCTTCCATTAAGTTGTTGAGAATTTTAAATATGTTTCCGCTTTTTTTAAGATAAAGATTAAGTGAAAGAATTTTATAGGAAACCGGAGAGGATTACTTGAAAATAATACATTAAAATGGCAATTGTAATTTTTGACTATGAAACCAAACTCTCAATCAAAATTTGGCTTTACTTTCAAGACTATAAAAACCCATCATGTTGCTTCTGCATTGATTGATGTTTCATTTGATGCTTCAATTGATCCTTCAGTTATTCGTTTTGAATTGCATATTTTCATGATTTTCTGCATTGTAGCTATCGAAACCCATTCATTGATGTTTCATTTATTCACTTTGTGTCTACCCACATGCTCGTGTCTTCTTTGTGATCAAATATCATGCACTAGAAGTCCCCTTTGCATTACCCGCCCTCAGCCATGGCAATCAATTTCAGGCATCACACCTTGCCTCAGATCTGTGCCTGCCATGTGGCAATGACATTGCCATGTGCCAAACAGGAGCGGAACCCAACGAATATACAAACCAGAAAACACCTTTTGCCGAATGTCAACGCCCGTACATCATCATCATCGGCATCAGCATCGTTGCTCGAGTACAAAATTCAAATATAATTCGAATGCTGTTTGCTGGCGGAGACATCCGCGACGAGAAATTTGCCCAACAATTGTTTTGCAAGCGGGCGCAACTCCTGTGCGTGTGTCCTCTGTTCCCTGTCTCCCTTCTGTACTTGGTAGAAACATCTGTCGGATGTCGTCGGAAGTTGTATCTGACGGCACGCCCCACACAGCAATCACAACTTGGCGCAGAGTGGCAAGGAGTGGAGTGCCGCCTCGATTTTTCACTGCAAGCTGCCTTCGAATATCTCAACATCCCATTGTGTGAGTGTGTCTCGCCTAAAGTTACGGATATTATTCATAATTTTCCAACGTGCCACTGTGACATATGCCACAGCAAAGGAGAAGGAGAAGGAGCAGGCTGGTTGCCATTCATGAGGGTTGTCTTTCAGCGGAAATCAGTTTTTCTGGCTGATAGAGTGCCCGTCCCTGCCTCCGTGTTGACCATCAAGGACCGAGGGCACGAGCTGTCAAGGCAAAAATAAAAACAAAAACCGAAAAAAGCCGAAAAGCAAAGCAAACATTTTTGTGGGTTTTCTGTGATAATGACGTGATAATTGCTTCTGCAGATCAGAAAGCAAAGCGTTTCTGTTGTGCCATTTCGGGAGAGAAGCCTTGCAAGTGACACATTCCGTACACATCCAGATACAGAGACATTTTATAGCAAAGTTCAAAGGACACCTGCCGTGCGGTTTTAATTGCATTGCACACCAAAAGTGACAAGGAATCTTGCAAGGACCGCCCGGCGCTAGGAAACAAAGTAATTACAAGGCCAACACACAGACACCCACAGGACACACGGGGAGAGGCCAAAGAACTCAAATTAGATGGAGCGCAGAGCACGACAGCAAGTGTCGCACATTGACAGCTCCAGGATGTGCCCGAGCCCGCCACAGCATTCACAGCAAAGGCAAGACATGGTTGGGTGGCTGTGGTTGGGTGACCCAAAGGGATGCCAGAGCAAGATTTCTATTAGCAGCGTCAAGGAAATCGTTTTTCCTAATAGCTATAGCCCCGCCACGTGTCCCACTGCTCAGTCGTGTGTCACAGGCGCAGGACAACCGCAGCATCCATAGCACCATAGCCAGAAAGGGAACAAACAATACAATTGAAAAATTATAAAAATTTCGCACTCCGTAACGAAAATCGGACGGACGTCGCTGTGGTCCTTGCACTCAGAGATACACTTGTTTCCAGCGCCCAGGACACGCGTCTACAGAGCGAGACGAAGGCCGCAGACATCATCAATATTGCAAGAGTCCTGCCAGCACGAGGGCGCATATTGAGGCTGTCAAATAAGCGTAGCTAATGCGTATTAAGTGCACTCCCTTAGAGTCCTTTTAGAGGGTGGTTGGCTACTGCTTCTCCGCTGTCTCAATCACGCTAATAGCCGCAATTCATGCAAATGTTATAGACACTAATATATGCGATGGCATAAGTCAAGTACGAGCAAGGTCAAATGCGGTTGGGAGTGGGTTACTGATGGCTGGTGGGTTTGTGGCAAAGGATTCTTCCTGTAGTGAGTAAACTTTTCTGCCTTTTGTTGCGCAACTTTTCTTCTTGTTTTAATTTTGTCTTATCCAATTGGAATTTAGAATTTCTCTTTCTTTTTTCACGTATCACATGGCAATACTTAAGTCCATCTAACGAGTACTACAACTAAGTCTGATGCCTTCTCCCCGTTTAGGAGAAATGCATTCCATTGAACTGCTCCCGATCGTCTCGCACCATATTGTTGTACTTCCATTTGTCCGAGCTCGAGGCCTGACTGCTCCACGCTCCGGAGCTGTGACTGGGCTTGCTGCTGCTGCCCTGTGACTGGGAGTTGGAACGGGAACGGTCCTTGCTCGAGTGATTATCCTTGGTGCTGGTGCTGGTGGTGCACTTATCCGTACGCTCTGTATAGACCATTTTTTGAGTGTTTTTTGCTGCCAAATTCGCGCTTTCAAATGCGTATTTTGAGTTGAGTGTTTGGGAGTTGGTTTGCTAATTCCCAATTCACGGCACAGACTGCAGCAGGGTGAGCACTTTGAGTTCCTTGTTGTTGGCCGAATTGCCCGTTCGAGATCCTTTGCGGGACGATAGACTTTTGCCTAAGCTGTGAACGAGAAAAGGGAATGAAATCTGTTTCTAAAACATAACTTTTCCGTCTATGATTTTTACCTTGATTGTTTGAACAATTTGTGTTTGGAATCCGTTCTAGTAATTTTTGGCATTGACACAACACTTTTGCAACTTGCACATTGGTGAAGAAAATGAAAGAAATTTCGCCCACTGCTATCGTTCCACACACAACCAAAGAAACTTGCACCGCTCGTCTTGCCGCTGAACTTTCTACTGAGCCAGCAGCACGCCGGACAACTGGTTTAAATACGCTCCAAAATCGCGATCGATCGAGTGCATTGGAACTGAAGGAACTACTGCGTCACACACACAGTTCTGAGCAGCAGCTGCAGCTCCCTCCCCCGATAAAAGCACCCATCCATGGGGTGACCTCAGTCTGGGCAGACCCCGAACCCGTTCGTGCCGACGCTCGACGACGACAATGCAAATGAGAGTTATCAGCGAGACTGGTTTTATCAGCGAAACATTCGCAAACAAGACACCTGTGGCTGAGGGAGGGGAAACGACTACAGGATTACCTCTTAGATCTATACAAAATATAGCAAATAGTGCTGATAGTTTTTGACCTCAAGCCTCAAGCAGCACTTCCCTTTAGAGCTGCCCATTTTAAGGGGTACACCTCAAAGACACCTCATCTGGTGATGCCCCAAAAAAAAAGCGCCGACAACCTGCTGCCTCTCACGTAGTAGCTGCCCCCGCTGTTTGCTCCCCTCATCAGCATTATCTCTATCTGTACCATTGAGACCGGCCGGCTACCTTTTTTTAGGGTAGGGAAGTTCACTCCTTAGGTTCTGTCCTTAACGGCACAAATCTCTCACCCTATGACGCGTGGCATAGCTGTACATATATCTGTATGTACATATATCTGCATATATGTATGTATAATGGTATAATTTAATATAATCCATCGTTCATTATGCATGAGCCACGTCTGGTGGCTGATGAAAAGTCTCCCCTGCATTGCATCAGCCAATTTGCGAGCAAGAAAACAGCTTCAACTGGTGGTGCTGGCCTGTTGGCCAGTTTTTGTATATATAGCACTTTAATGTGTTGTTGTTTACTTTATCTACTATATAGACAACCGATTTGAGGTGTGCTGGGAGCCGCAGGAATAAGGAAAGGACTGGGAATAGGCCAAGGACTTGGGGAACGACAATGAGGAATGGATAGGTGGAAGGCATTTGGTTGGATTATATCTCAGGGATCCGCTTCTTTTGAAACTCTAAGCTCTCAATCTTTCATTAAGAGTTCGCTGATCCCTTTGGCATCACTTTCACCCCTAAAAACCCCCGTCTAAACCCCTAAAACAAGTCCAACCAGCTAGGATTCCAGACAGGCAACCACAATGGTACATTCCCTCTAACTTCTCTGTGTACTTTGAACGTCTAAGTCGCAGCTTTAAATGTCAAGCGCCTGCAAAATATTTATGTGTCTGCCGAAAAATAAAATAAAATTCCGATGACTGCAAAATGCGAATGCAAATGCGCCAGACACATGGCTGATAATTGATTAAATTAAAATGTGGCCCAGACAGACAGAAAGAAAGCAAAAATTAAGACAGGTTTTGGGGCAGTAGAAAGATGTGCAAAAGATCCCTGCGCGGAGTTTATATAAGGCTAAGACCGAGTGGCAGATGTTGAAATGTTTCAGCGGAACAGCCAGAGATTCCCTGAAAGTTGATCCTTTTTGTGGGGAAAGTACCCCACGCTCTCCCTGGTGTTTCCCCCCATTTGTTTTGTATTTGTTATTGTTTGTCCCGGCTCTTTGATTTGTTTATGCTTTTGGGCCATCAATGAGTGTGCGTCTATGACGGCTGACCGCGTGGCAAGTTGAGAGCCAAAGCCCGTTTCATTGACGCAAAACTCCACACGAGCGAACAAGACATTTTTGGGCCAGAGATTTTTGCATCACAGATCACGGCGAATGGAAACTAGTTTCCGCAGCACGAGCCCGCCGCATGATCGCGAGGCGATTTCGGGAGGGTATAAAAGCAGAGCACACAGCTCACAATTCCAACACACCAATTCGTGGAGCTTTCGCAGTTAAATCTCTTGCAAAGATCTCAAACAAAATTCACCCAAACGTAGAGCAACAAATGTGTCAATGAAGACACCGGACACCAAAGCGAAGCTACTTGATAATATTAGGTGAGAGTTGGAAGGGAATTCCACCAAGATCAACCCCAAACTAATGCGAAATTCTCTTATTTCTTAGTCTCTCCAAACATCTGTCTTCTAAGAAGGGCGGCTCTCGCACTAGCAACTGCGGCAATTGTCTGGAATTCTCGGTGCTCACGCGGCTATCCAGTGTGCCCTGAATCCCCCACACAAACACGGCTCCATCCAGCTCCAATTTTGAATCTTTGAAAAGAAATCTTCATTCCCCAAGATGGTTCATCAGACGCGTACCCCGAGCAAGGCCATTCCAGCCAAGCACCTGAGTCCCATGCGCAATGTGGACACTCTGGGCGGAAAGTATGCCGTTTCCAGCAGTCCGGCGGACAGTTTCCTGCGACACAACAGCAGCAGCAGCAGCAGCAGGTTGACTGTCCACCAGACTTCGCCGGCTGCCTTCAAGTACAACAATTTGGTCAACAATAATCGGGAGCAGTTCAATGCCCTGCACTTTTGCTGACGGATGCGGCGGAGAGACTAAAACCCAAACCCCAACAGCAGCAACTAAAGTTCGCTGTTGGTTGCTTGGTTGGTTGGGTTACCCTTGATCATTTGTTATAAATAATGCAATAAATTTATACAACTTGTGTGCACAAATATTGCAATTAATTGCCACGTGTCCTGCTGCAGATTTTACATTTTTGCAAAATTTAATTTGCAGCCGCGCCTAAGCCTTCCTCGTTCTCATTTTTCATTGTTTGCGGCTGTCTGCCACACTTTGTCACAATGTAAATGTGTGTGCATGTGTGTGTGTGTGTGTGTGTGTGTGTGTGTGTGTATTCGCACATTTGATATTCGGTTTTTTTCCATACACGCGCCATATTTTCACATTAGCTGCAAATCAAAAGCTTAAACATTTCGCACGGCTGCCATTTGCATAAATCTTCATTTATGTTTTTCTCTCTCTTTGGTTTTATTCTGTTTGTAGGCTTTTGTAGACTTTGTACCTGGCGCGTTGTGGCACTATAAGAATTTAATGTTCTGTATGGAAAAGTGTTTATAAGAGTGAATGTTTGCACAGCCAAAAAGAAGAGCGAAACATGAAGTTGAAATAGTTTTGGGACAGGGAAAGAAATTGCATAAAAACGGGCATTGAGTCAAAATATATTCCGTGTAAGATGCATCCAATCTGTAAGTGTTTAATGTTAGGCAGAATATTTAGAGAGCAAATTACCAGAATCAATAAAGTAAATGCTTTTTTCCGTCTAGAAAAAGTAACCCAAAACTTTGTGTTTTCAATTTCCAAATTCCTAGAATTTCATTTTTATTCATTGAGAGTGAAAAGAGTTCTAGAACTTTCCAAAAGTTGTACCCCAAATGAAACACCTTTGAGCCCAGGCATTCCCTTGATGAAAAATTCTACTAAGAGCTCTTTCCACCTCCAACTTTCAGTGAGAAAGAAAATGCGCTATCCACATCAATTTATGCTAAACGCTGAACAGGTATGCAAATGGAAGACTCAACTCGGACCTAATCTGAACTGGTTTCCACAGCCAACAATGTAAAGGGTAAACGAAGAGCAGCAGCTGATGATCACTCCAACAACTAGTTAGATCAGGGAAATAGTATGTGCTGCGATGACTAAACTGTTGTCAGGCAGTTTGAAAATTCCCAGAGACCGGAAAGACACGAAACCGAAGCAGGCAGCAGGCAGCAGCCAGCAGCCAACCCCCCCAGCAGCGGACAAGGGAAATTGCGAATTTTCGGGATGGAAACATTAAAAGACAATCTGTTACATCGAAAATGCACAAATCATCGCCAGCCACAGAGATTTTTGTGTGCCCCAAAAGAGAAAAAACATTTTTATTATTCCAGTAAATTAAACGCTGAGCATTTGGAGAGTGGATTGAGCCATAGGACGACACTGCGGGCAGATATCCTATGCTGTGGGTCGTCTGTAGCCAGGCGTCGACAGTCATTAAATTATCACACATTTAACATCAAAAACAATTGAAAAGTAGCGCCGCAACACAAAAGGCAACCCTCGGACCACCCTCGACCCCCAGCCAGGCGCTCATCCAAAAACTTGGGAACTTGACTTTCACCCCCGCAAAGTGTTTGCCCTGCCCTGTTCCCCGTTTGCCGCATTACAAGCTGAAAACATGGTTATTACATCAGTAAATGCCAGGCTCGAAGCGGGGTTGTCAGGGGGGGTTACCGGGGTGGTGGTGGTGCCACATGTGGGCGTTGCAAAACGGGCGAACGATGGATGGATGGATGCGATGTCTTGTGATGATTATGACAGCATGACGACGAGGACAACTCCGAAACGGAAACCCAACTCCCTCTCTAATGTCTAATTTAGTTTTTGTTTTTGCATTGTGCAATATGTCGACCATTAGGGGTCGAGTGGGGGAGGGGGGGACCATGACGCGGCAGTAAGTGACGATAAATCATAAACGAAACATCAATTCCAGCACTTGACCCCAAAAGGGAAATCGACTTCCAGCCGCGTACAAAAGTGCCCAAGAACTGCAATTTTTAAGGGACATAAAGTGCTCCCAGAGCATTATCCTTTGGATGGCATGTCCTGGTCACGTGCCGTCAGCTTTTATTTTCTTGCAAATTAATTAATTGCCAGCAGAGCCGAAAAGCAGAAGCCCAAAGAAGATTGATTAAGAGACACAAGCGGCGAGAGGAGCTCCACAGCGATAACCCTTCAATTGTCCCTTCAACTTATCTATCACGCCAACATCCTGAAAGGCGAAAAGGATCTACCTATACCTATAGGAAACTCTCTCCCCGCTCTTACCCTTCCCGCTGCCACTGCTTTTTGGACTATTTCGTTTTGATGATTTATCGACATTTTGGGCGGAAATCGCTGTGCCAAAAGCCAAAACGAAATGAAACGTTTCCAAAGCAGACAAGAGAGCAGAGAGCAGAAGCAGAGTGAGAGAGAGAGAGAGCGGGAGACAGGCAGAAAAGTTGCAACAGGAGCAGACGTTCCACGTTCCATGTTCCATGTTGTTGAAGCGGAAACGCAATCGGCGCACTGCCAAAAATAAATTGATTACTGTCACGGAAATAGCTAAAGGCAACCCATAGCCAGGGGTACGGGGAGAGGGCTGAGCTGTGTGCTGTGTGTGCTCCAACTTTTTTAATCGATATATTCACAATACACGAAAGACGATGCGCGCGACACCTGGCAACTGGCTTACGTTCTCCTGACTCTGCTTCAAAATGTCTTAGGCGAAGTCGGCTTAAATCACAGCCAGAAGGGAGGGAGTGGGCAGGGACGGGGTGTGCTCTGGTTGGGGGTGTAAGTGAGAATTGAAGCGATGTCTTATAGATCACGTGACATGGCCTTAAATAGTTTGCCCTGTCAATTAAAGACACCTGTAAGCAGAAGCTAAGTGCTAAGCTCTCAAGACAAAACATAAGAAAAATGTGTGGCTTATGACAGGGGGAGGAAAGTGAGAGTTGCCAAGAGTTGCCAAGAGTTTCCGAGAGACAAACACGCACTGTTCACGCCTTTAATTTGTGCGTTAAAGTGTTGGGGGAGAATATGTATACCCATTTGATGTCTCATTTTAATGGTAATGTTAAATATGTTCAAGAATAATTTAAGAACTTATTTTTAGAACGGAAAGCAGAGCATAGTTTGGCCAAATAATTTTGTATTAATTTCACTCATTATCCTCCTTTTATTCCCCACCAAAAGCCTCAACTTTTCTGTACACTTTCATCAGACTTTCAACTATCTGACGCCAAAGTTTTACCCAGAGGAAACCCATCCCGAAAACCCTTTCTATGCCCAGCGACAGAGAGCGATTGACTGCCATAACAAATGTATTAGAAACTTTCTTTGTATAATTTCCGCATTTGGCAGAGAACGCAAAAAGGGAATGGGCATATCAGGCATTCACTTCAAATTGCACTTCCGTGCGAAAAATTGTTTATCGAAAACTTTCATTTTGCAAGGGGAGGAGAGCAATTCCCAAACCGTACGAGTATCAATGGAACGACGTCAGCCCCGCCCTCACAGCGCCTTGGACCGACTGAGGGGGGACCGTCCGTGGCCGTCCGTGTCGTGTCGATAAAGTTTTTGCACCTATTGTCATGTTATTGATTTGTTATAAATTTCACACATTCGCATGCGCTCTCCTGCTCCCTCCCCCTGTTGTGCTTATCTATTAAATGTAAATGACTGGAAAATGCCAATGGCCCCGCCTCCGAATTGAAAACGGACACGCGCCGCAGCTGGGTAACCCTTTTTGCTAGCTTATCTGTGAATTCTCAATAAGATTTGCTATCATTTTAAATTCCATTTTATTGCAATCGAAATAAATGGCCAAAGGAGTGAAAAGAGGTGCGGGGCCAGGGCCAGCGAGAGAGCTGAAATGTCAAGGCGTTAAAATAAATTGATACCGGAAAATGTTTATAAAAGAAAAAGAAAATGGGGGGTACACTCTGGCAGAGGTTTAAGTGTTTGTTGGTAAAGGGTTTACATGGGAGGGGGAGGAAGCATTTTCAATAGCTTTAACACAGAAATCTTCCAGATTTCAACAGAATTTCACACAGCTCTGAAGTTGATTTAAAATACGAGCTCCCATTGGGTGTGCCTACACCTTGATAATGGAAAGGGCAATCCACTCACACATCTGTTGATGCTGCCTGGAAGAACCACTCCCGAGTCTGCAGGAACTTTTTGCCATTCTTTCTTCACACTTGATTTGATAATATGTCGTAAATTTTCTCTTTTCACTTTTCACTTGTGAATTGTTCACAATTAAGTCACACTTTTAATGACGTGACGCAAATATTAAAATACTCGCTCCTCGCAGCGGACATGAACGTTCAACCCCCTCGTCAGCCATCCCCCCTTCTGCCTGTTGCCACCAACGACAGCTGTTGACATGAGCCCAGCCCAGCGTCCAGTCGGAAAAGTCGGAAAAGTTCTTTCTGTTGTGACTGCTGCGCTAATTAGGCGAGACGTGAAAATTTTTGCTTATTATTTTCCCTAAAATTTAACGACTTCTTGCCATCTAAACGGAAGCCATTTGGAAGATATTTTATATGGTGCAACATTTTGAAATTAGTATCTCAGAAATTACGGTTATTGTCAGAAGTGAATTTTAATTAGTAAAATTCAAAATACTCAAACGGAGTGACGATGGAGCGATGGAGTGTCCCAAGGCATGTCGAATCGCTGACGACAGTCGGCAGTCAGCAGAGTGCTCTGTCCATTAGGGGTACTTTATGGGATCTGCCAAAGGCAGCAGAAACTGCCTGATTGCTGTTGGAAAATCAATGGAGATGAGATTTGGATATGGAAGAAGTGGCAAAAGAAACAGCAGGTGGATTGCTGTAAGGTAATCTCGAGCAAACAATTACATATTTATTTCTTTTCGAATTTATCATTTGACAACTGTTATCTGATAGTGTTCCCATTTCTAGTTCTTACGCATCTGTCGCTTTCTGAGAGTCTGCGAATTAATTACAACAACAACAAACGTGCAGAGAGAGAGAGAGAGAGATAGAGTCGCCGTTTACGCCAGCAACGTGTGAAATTGCCATAATAACAACAAGAATGGAAAGAGAGGCTCCCGATTTACACTCTCTTTCTCAGAGCTTCGCGAAGGGTCTTCTTTGCGCCAGCTACCTGCGTAATGTCTACAACAACAAGTATGACCCTCTCTGAGCTTCGAAAAGGGTCGCGCTTACGCCAGCTACCTGCTTGCTGCGCATTCGCACACTTTCTATTTAGTTCGAAACTTTTTGCATGTTTTCTGCTGCCTTCTAAAATATAACTGTAATCTCTTTGTTGCATATTTAAGCTTATAAAAAAGCCTGCTAGTGTTTCTGTCACACTCCTCCTACGATCGTTCGCTTGCTGTAACTGCGTTCCCTGCTGTCCCAATATTTGGGACACCAGTGTTTCAAGATGCGTCTAAAAGTATGTAATCAAAAACATACACAATAAAATATGCAGAATAGCATGATCGACTGGCCAGTGACAATTAGTATGTTGATATGAGCCTTGATCAATTTTAAAGTTCTTAACTTTTCTACAGTTCCTTCCAAAATAAAGTGCTAGAAGGAATATTCAAAGACTAAAGCAGGCCGAATGTAATGAATGAAACTTCATTAAAAAAGAGCATTCCCATCAGGTTAGTACCTTCTAGTAAAGGGTAATTGTATGTTGAGTTAGGTTAAGATTTTTAATGGCAAAGTAAGTAAATAAGTAAATGAAAACTGGAATCTATACAAATACCAATTCATTAACAATCATTCAGTATCGATCAATATTAAATTCTGATTAAACATCTAATGAATATTTTCCATTGTTCTGGCTTCCTATTACAGCAGACCCACTCCATCATCGTACTTATATTTTCGTTTATCTAATTTGCATATTCAACAGCCTTTAACCCTCTCTTGGGTCGCATCCAAGTACCAGATTGAGCAATCTAATAGCGGACCGCAAATTGTTCATGACTGGCATTGTACGGCATAACACTAAGTACAGTACGATGTGTCGGGTTGGGTGCATATAAGCACATGCACATATGTGTGTGTGCACATACATATCTAAGACACTGTTTTTGCCGTTGGCAATGCGAAACTGCAACAGGGCAGCCTCTGAGTCTGATTCGCCATGAGTTTAGCCGTTGCAGTTGCAGCGCAGCATTTTTTGCATTCAGTTGATCGCGGATCGTGGCTTTGACCAGTTGAACTTCCATTTCCATGGATATCAAAAGGAACTCGCCGAAGTTAGTAACAAGTGCTCAAGGCTGAACAGTCGTTAAATCAGCAGGAACATTTATCTAAGTCACAATTCAATCAGTCAGCGTGAAGTGTGTAATTGCAGCAGCAAGTTTTCAAACAGGAAATAGACTCTGCAAAACCAATTAAAAAAAATGCATAAAAATTATTTGGAAATAGCCAAATAAACTAGCGGGTGTGGCACCACATAAAAGAAGAAAGGATATAAATTTATATCGAATATTGGGTGGAGGATCTGTTGCCACTGAAGCACTTCTCTTTATTAGAGACTCTTTATTATGCCATATGAGAAACTTGAACTCTATTATTATTAAAAAACCATTTATAACCATTAGCTTACATGACAGATTGAGATAAAGCCTTGGAAACAAGTTCTATCAAAATATTTTTGAACCTTGTAATTAATCGTTGGGCGGACACCTCTTAATGGCCCCAGCATTTTGCCTGGTGAACGCCTGCGTCGAGCAAACCAGAGAACTGGTCAAAAGGTCTAGCCAAAAACAATTGGCAGCTAAATTCCGGTCACGATCTTAGCATATATATTTAGACAAAAGCATTTAAGCTGCAAAGTGCAGTCAAGCAACGTTTGCTGCTGCAGTTACTAAATGTATCTCAAGCCTTTGTTTCCACTCGGTTAACTTTGATCTTTTGTGGGGCTTCAGGTGGCGCCGGACCACGATGGCATTTCTGGTCGTGGTGGTGGTGGTGTTGCTGCTGCCTGCATCCAGCGAAGCCGCTGAAATACTGGGCCTGTTTGCACATCCCGGCAAGAGTCACTTTGAGTTCTTTCGACCCATATTCAGGGAGCTAGCTGGGCGCGGCCATAACATCAGCATGTACAGCTACTTTCCGCTGGAACAGCCGCTGGCCAACTACACGGATTATGTGTTCAAAGGATCGCCCTTGCTGACGGACGTCATTGATCTAATGGTGGGCAGGGAGTACAGAGGAGGATCTGCTCAAGTGTACTATACGTTTCACCTTGCAGAAATTTAAAACAACCGAAAGGACGCTGTTGGGTTTGCCCTACAAAATTCCCACCTACTTTATGCTGCACAGCTGGGGCATGCGCTTCTGCCAGTCGGCCCTGAACTCGCCCCTGATTGCCGATTTGCTCAGTTCTCCACTGCGCTACGATCTGATCATCCTGGAGCACTTCGCGAATGACTGCATGACGGCAGTGGCGCATCTGCTGAACGCCCCAGTGGTGGCTCTCAGCACCTGTGCCATCATGCCGTGGCACTACCAGCGCATGGGTACGCCCCACATCAACGCGATTATGCCCATGAACTTTCTGACCTACTCGGACGAGATGGGGCTGATCGATCGCCTCAATAACTTCATCCATTTCCACACAGTCAACACGTTGTACGAGTGAGTAGCGACTGACCCACATACCTATCTCCCAGTTATCGCCACTTTCTCGCTGGACCACAGATGGATTACCCAACCGGCGACCGATGCATTGATAAGCCAGAGATTCGGCTTCGGTCTGCCGTCCGTCAATGAGATTGTGAAGAACACCAGCCTGATGCTGATTAACCAGCACTACGCCCTGACTGGCATCAGTCCCTATGCTCCGAATGTTGTGGAAGTTGGCGGACTGCAAATTGGTCCACAGAAACCACTGCCAGAGGTGGGTTGGATAAACCCATTCAAAGATGTCTCACCTGTCATGCCCCTCTTTCAGCACCTAGAAAAGTTAATGGAGGATTCCCTGAGTGGTGTCATTTACATCAGTTGGGGCTCCATGGTCGATCCCACCACGCTGCCGATTGAGAAGCGTCGAGCGCTGTTCAAGAGCATTGCCCACATGAAGGACTACACATTTCTGATACGCTGGAAGAGTGACAAACCGCTGGCACAGGACAAGCCCAGCAATCTGTTCACCTTCGATTGGCTGCCGCAACGGGATCTGCTGTGCCATCCCCGGGTCAAGGCATTCATCTCGCACGCCGGTCTCCTGGGCACCACGGAGGCGGTGCACTGCGGCGTTCCCATGCTGGTGACGCCCTTCTTTGGGGATCAGTTCCTCAATGCCGGCGCACTGGCACAGCGTGGCTTCGGTGTCATTGTTCACTTTGGCGACTTCGATGAGCAACACATAACCAGCGGACTTCAAAAGATACTCGAGAAAGAGTAAGTGATCCTCCTGGGTCTCGCATTTCTAAATATCCAACTCGACTATATATATTTACAGATTCGCCGACAAGGTTCGACGCTCGGCAAAGGCCTTCCGGGAACGTCCGCAGTCCCCGCTGGAGCTGGCCACTTGGTGGATCGAACATGTCATCGATACACGCGGTGCCCCAATGCTTGAAAACAGAGCCCGGCATATCAATTGGTTCGTCTACAACTCCATTGATGTTTATCTGTGCTGTTTGGCAATTATTGGATTACCTTTGTTCGCCATCTGGCAGTTGGTGCGACTTTTGCGGCTAACTTTGGGCTTGATGAATGCTACGAAAAACCAGAAAACAAAGGTGCAATAAAGTACTTGAAGAAAAATATTTATGTCTACATGTATATATACACGTGTGTTTGGAATAGGTTTTGTTTCAGTCTCAGTTTAAGTGGAGTCAAATTGACCTTTATTGAGTATTAATTGATAAATATCATTTTAATTGGAATTTTAATTCCAGCTTGTTTTCTTTGAAGCATGTAAGACCTCGTTGAACATCTTTGGCAGAAAAACACTTTTCTATGGCATAATTTTGCTCCACGCCAACCCTTACAATATTCAATGTCTCACAGTCAATATATTTAACACTTTCACTTTCCAAGCGTAAAGTAATAAATCATTCTTAATCTATTAAATTGTTAGGTACTACGAGTGTAACCGTTATGTGATCTTTTGGAGTACCTCAAAACACACAAGAAGCAAAACAAAAGAAACACAAAGAGAAAAGCTTTCACATTAAATATTTAAGGGGTTCAGTGTACCGCAATTTACATTTGAGAATAAATAGATTTCAGTTGTCAAGCTTTGCCATAAATAGAAGAACAAGACAATGGGGTAAATGTCATTGAGCTCATTTCCAAATATTTGAATGAAACACTGCGAATAGCTGCAATGAAAACTAAATGCTCTAGATATGAATATTATCTCTTATAAATTGGTGAATTATAGATTAAACATTTTAAAGAATTTGTTTTCAACAGAACAAAATTTTCCAGAAATTGTATTGCAGATTACGACAATCAAATTTGTACATTGATCACTAATAGAACACAAAAAGGAACACTCTTATCTCTGCATATTTTCAAGAACTGAAAATGCCAGACACCTGTATGCACATGCACACATATGTATGTATAAATATACATATATATATAAATGTATCAATAAAGAGAGCATTCAACTACTACGTGAACTACAGTTATAGTCACAAAACTTCTACTGTGTATGCGTCCTTCAGGTACTAAGCTCTCTCTCTGTCTCTCTCTTCCACATAACGAACACAAAAATGTGACAAACAATCCCCAGTCTCGTCTCGACTAAGTGTAAACATTTGAACTGTAATCATTGAGAGTAGCGCCTGGCGGCGAACATGTGAGCAAGTAATGACTGATAAACAATCGTCAGTCTATCTTCAATGATGTAGCGTTTAATTTGCTTTCACTGTCGCTAGTCTCGTGCTCAAGGTGCTCCCGTTCTCCCTCTCTCTCATTCAAGCTCTCCTGTTGGCACGTTCTCCTGTTGTACAATTGTGTAGCTCTCCATCGTATAGTATTTGCTGTAAAAAGAGAGAGACAGCAAAGCTTCCGCCAAAGACAGCGACGACGACGACGCACAATATTCGGTTCGGTTTGGATCGGATCGCTGACAGAGCGCACTTTTCGTTTTGCTTTTCGTGCATTGACCGAGCTTTCGTTTTGGCTTCCCCATCCATACTTCCCTCCTCCCGCCATAGACTGAACTACACTGCATTGCTTCCCGTTCTGTCAGTCGCTCGCCGACAGCCAAACAAGTAAGTGCATTGATCTCTCTCAGAAGAAAGAAGGAGCTGAGTGGCCATGCGGCATGGAACTCTCCTTTGGTTATTGTGTGTGTGTGTATCTAGTGATACAGTTCCAGTAAAAGTGTGATTGATTTTTGGAGCAAACGTAGCCGTAAATAAAACGTGTAAATCGCGGAACACAATTTTAATTAACGACCCACCGAGACTGTGATGCAATGGGCTTTTGTTGTGTTTTCTTTTTGTGCTTTCCCCCGAGCATTCTTTACATAATTTTCTTTACAACAATTCTTCGCATTCGTATTCGTGTCATGCACTTAGTACAAGGTCAGACGAAAATACAGAACATCAGCTCCCCCCCGCCAGCGCCCAGCCAATACCCCAAAAGGCAACAAGTGTTTTTATTTTTTTCTGCGTCGATATTTAAAACTTTTACGTTCTCCTTTTATTTATTTGTAATTATTCATAGAGACATGTGGTCGTCGCTGCTTGCCTTAGCACTGCTATGCCTGACCCTGGCCCATACGGGGCTCGAGGTCAATGCCGGTGCCCCGTTGAAGGTCTTGGGTCTGTTTCCCCATCCCGGCGTCAGTCACTTCCACTTCTTTCATCCCATTATGCGTAGCCTGGCCGAGGCGGGACATGACGTCAGTGTGGTGTCCCATTTTCCGGACAAAAATCCGGTTGCGCGGTACAAGGATTATCCACTGACAGGCATTGAAAAGCTCACAAACAGCGTGGATCTAAAGGTGGGTTAGAGAGCAAGGAAGTTCCGATTTGATTGATAATTTTGGGGTTTGGTTTTCCTTTTTTAGATGTTTGAGAAACGCACCTTCTACAGTCACTTCCAAGAGTTCTTTCTGCTGTACGACTGGGGCAGGCAGGCCTGCAACTTTACACTCCGCTCTAACGCACTGCAGCAGATCCTTAAACGCAGGCAGGGCTACTTCGATGTGATCATTATGGAGCAGTTCAACACGGACTGCATGATGGGAGTGGCTTACCAGCTGCAGGCGCCAGTGATTGCGTTGAGCAGCTGTGTCATGATGCCCTGGCACTACGAGCGAATGGGTGCACCCATAATACCCTCCCACATACCCAATCTGTTCATGGCTCAGTCGCAGGACATGAACTTTGCAGGACGACTGGCCAATTGGTTCAGTTTCCACGCACTCAACTGGATGTACAAGTAGGTGGACAGTGAAGATATTTACTCGAGAAAGGCATTGACAATTTCTTCTTTCAGATTACTCTCCGTACCCGCTGCCGATAAGTTGGTGCAATACAAATTCGGCCACACGCTGCCCTCCGTGGGTGAACTGGCCAAGAATACCTCTCTGTTCTTCGTGAATCAACACTACTCGCTGAGTGGACCGAAGCCACTGCCACCCAATGTGATCGAGTTGGGCGGCATACACATACAACAGGCAAAGCCTTTGCCCGCGGATCTGCAGCGCATTCTGGACAACGCCGAGCATGGGGTGATCCTCATCAGCTGGGGCTCCATGATACGCGCCAATTCCCTGTCCAGTGCCAAGCGGGATGGCATCGTACGCGCCGCTGCACGCCTCAAGCAGCAAATCATCTGGAAGTGGGAGAACGAGACGCTGCCGAATAAGCCCGCCAATATGCACATCATGAAGTGGCTGCCACAGCGCGATATTCTGTGCCATCCCAATGTCAAGGTCTTCATGTCCCACGGCGGTCTCATGGGCACCTCGGAGGCAGCCTACTGCGGCGTGCCCGTGGTGGCCACACCCATGTACGGCGATCAGTTTGTTAACTCAGCCGCTTTGGTTCAGCGTGGAATGGCCACGATCCTGAACTACGAGGACATTGGGGAGAACAGCGTGATGCGTGCCTTGAAAAAGGCGTTAGATAAAAAGTGAGTGCAGTCCCAATGGTGTTCTCTGTGTCTTCTAACTAGATCTCTCCTTCCTCTTAGATACTACGATGCTGCCAAACTCGTCTCCCACTCGTACAATCACCGCCCGAAGCAGGCTATTCAGACGGCCATCTGGTGGGTGGAACATATTGCCCATAGCCACGGTGATCCCCTGATCCAACCCAGCGCCGTGCACATGTCCCGCTTCGTCTACTATTCCCTCGATTGCTATGTGGTTGTGGTTCTTATTCTGGCCATTGTTATCGGCAGTTGGGTGTCCCTCATCCGACGCTGCTGCGGTTCCAAAACTGCCGCCAAGCCAAAAAAGGACTAGTGGGTGGAGAGTCCACCAATCGTCTCTTGTTTTTGTGATATTTTATATGTTCTTGTGTAAGAGAATTTTAGACGCTTCCTGATCAAGGATTTCAATTGTAGTTGTAACGTAATCGTAGATCAAACTAAAAACAAATTAATTGTTTAATAAAATTTGAATATTTCTATCTATATTTCCTGATAATTATTGCCTTTGCCGCTGCACCAAAAAGATCGGAACTTAGACAGCTAATAATCTCTTCCAGTGTGGCTTAGCAATATTCAGCTTATTTTTAATATTTAATAAGATCTTTAATCGTTAATCCCAGGAAGCATTCATCTAGATTAAATATTCTTTCAGAAATGTTACCCCCTCCAAAAGAGAATCCCTACGCCCATGTCACGATTATGACATATACTTTTTGGACATTGACTGTCTCTATCAGCCATAAACTACCGAAAGAGAGAATCAGGTAAAGAAATTTCTCTTTTCTAGCGTTCCCTTTTATGACAACACTCTCGGCTGCCTCAGTTCATGTTCTACTTTTGCCAGCGACGGATCGCTCTCTGTGTATATTTTTGTTTGCTAATTACAGATGTAAATAGATGAGTAGTAATATTTAATTGTTAATTATAGATGTGCAACTGAGGCACAAACAAAATCAAAATGTATACCTAATCAAGATGAAAATCACAAAAATCTTTAGAATCCGCAGTTGAAAATGATTGCCAAGCAGAGAAACAAGTGCCTATCGCTGCTGCTGGTGATATCCCTAACAGGTACGGTCAGTTCTTTGAAGATCTTGGGCATGTTTGCCCATCCGGCAATCAGCCACTTCAAATTCTTTCATCCGATTATGCGCGGACTGGCCGAGGCGGGGCACAGTGTGGATGTGGTGAGTCCCTTTCCGGATAAGGCACCGCCCGCTGGCTATACGGATTATAAGCTGCCATCATCCAATCTGTCGGATATGATACCAATGACAGTAAGTCCCAAGTCCTAAATATCTTATAAATCAAAGTCTTATAAAGGTTTTTCTTAACTTAGGAATTCGAGCGGCCTTTGCCATTTCTTTTCCACTACGCAGAGTTCTATATGCTCTACGCCGCAGGGAAGGATGCCTGCAACACCACCCTCCATAGTGAGGCATTGGCCACTATCCTGAAGCATCCTCCTGGCTACTATGATGTCATCCTGATGGAATACTTCAACACGGATTGCCTGATGAGTGTGGCGCATGTGCTGCAGGCGCCAGTGATTGGCATGAGCAGCTGTGCCCTGATGCCTTGGCACTATGAGCGGATGGGTGCTCCATTGATCCCTTCCTACATATCGGCGCTCTTCATGGGCAAATCCCAGCAAATGTCGTTTGCCGGTCGATTGGGCAACTGGATCACAGTTCATTCGATTAATTTGCTCTACAAAATGTTCAGCTATTCCGCTGCCGATGCCTTGGTGCGCCAGAAATTCGGCCCTGGACTGCCATCCACCCGAGAGATGGTGCGGAATACCTCGCTGATGCTACTCAATCAGCACTTTTCGCTGAGTGGACCCAAGCCCCTACCGCCGAACATAATCGAAGTGGGCGGAGTGCATCTGCAGCCGGCCAATCCCTTGCCCGCTGATCTCCAGCAGCTGCTCGATAAGGCCACCAAGGGCGTCGTCCTCATCAGTTGGGGCTCTCAGCTGCGCGCCAGTTCGTTGTCCGAGGCGAAGCGGGATGCCATGGTGCGTGCCATTGCTCGCCTGGAGCAGCTGGTCATCTGGAAGTGGGAGAACGAGACGCTGCCCAACAAGCCCGAAAATCTTCACATCATGAAGTGGCTGCCACAGCGCGATCTATTCGCCCATCCCAATGTCAAGTTGTTCCTGTCGCACGGCGGCCTCATGGGCACCTCGGAGGCGGTGTCCAGCGGCGTACCCATGGTGGGCATGCCCATGTATGGCGATCAGTCGCTGAACATCGAATCTCTGGTGCAGCGGGGCATGGCCCTGCGTTTGGACTTCCATAAGCTCAGCGAGCAGACAATCTACGAGACGATTACTAGAGCCTTGGATCCCGCCTTCAAGGTCAACGCTCTGGCCGTGGCCTCTGCGTACAACAATCGCGTGCAGCAGCCGCTGGAGACGGCCATTTGGTGGGTGGAGCATGTGGCGGAGACCAAAGGCGCACCGCTCGTTCAACCGAGCGCTGTTCATCTGTCCCGCTTCGTCTACTACTCGCTGGATGTCTACTTGCTGGTGATCTCTGTCCTACTTCTGCTGTTCTTTGGCTGCTTAAGATTACGTCGGATTTGTAAGCGTCAGGCGGTAACCAAGCTGAAACGCCAGTGAAATCTTATCTGCGAGTAGATTATAGATTATAAATTGATTGTGGCATTACGATTATAAAAGACGAACAGTTCACGTTTAATAGTTAATATTTTATGTACAAAATCCAATCCTAAATGCCATTTACAACTTGGCATTGGCTGCTCCCGGGAAGCCCAAGCGATACAGAGCCACCACCACAGCGCCACCCAGTCCCAGATTGTGCTGCAGCGCCAGCTTGGCACCGGTCACCTGGCGCTTCTCGGCCAGACCGCGCAGCTGCCAGCACAGCTCAGCGCACTGGGCCAGGCCAGTGGCTCCCAGAGGATGACCCTTGGAGATGAGTCCACCGCTGGGGTTCACCACGAACTTGCCGCCATAAGTGTTGTCTCCGCGATCAATGAACTCGCCAGCCTTGCCCTCGCCGCACAAGCCCAATGCCTCGTAGGTCACCAGCTCGTTGGCGGAGAAGCAATCGTGGAGCTCCACCACCTGCACATCCTGTGGCTTGTAGCCGCTCTTGGCAAACAGACGCTGAGTGGCCAAAGCAGTCATATCGTAGCCAGCGATCTTCATGAGGCTCTTGTCTGCGAATGTGGATGCTGGGTCACTGGCCATTTCCATGCCCACAATCTCCACAGCTTGCTTCTCGAGGCCATGGCGACGCACGAACTGCTCGGAGGCGAGGATGGCAGCACCAGATCCATCGGAGGTGGGGCAGCATTGCAGTTTGGTCAGCACTCCCTCGACCACCTGAGGCGACTTCATAATCTGCTCCAGAGTGTATTCATCGCGGAACTGTGAGTAGCTGGAACCAACAAAGTCCGACAGATAAAACAAACGCGTGTACGGATCGGATCGGTCTCCCGACTGAATGCAGGCAATGGAGTGGACTGTTGATGGCGATGATGATGGTTGGAGGTTCTCGGCGATAAGATAAGCGATTGGCAAAGTGAACTTTCGACTGAACTTACGGATTGTTGACGGAGTGCTTGTGGTTCTTCCAGGCGATCTTGCCAAAGTGTTCGGGCTTGGTGCCATACTTCTTCATGTGTTCCTTGCCAGCATTCCCAAAGATCTGAGCAGCCATGGGTCCAGGTCCAATTTCGGTAAGTTCGCTCATCTCGGTGATGTGACGCTCCATGGGATTGGCACGGTCAAAATACTGTTGGTACATGATTGAGATTATAATAAGTTATTATTGTTCATCTTCCTAACAGGGTGGAAACTACGGTCACTCGGTGCGAGGTAGAAGAGCTTCGGGTCCCGGTCGTGTGTCAGCCTCCACGGTCTGAGCTACTAGACGAACCGGTCCATGTCCCGCGACCTAGGACACCTCGTCAACAACAAGTGTAACATCTGCCCTTACGGCCAGTAAGGGTGGAGTATGTGTCCACGCTGGCCGCAGGTGGAGTCGCCATAGACGTAACCAGTCACCGCCTGCTGCACCTCCTCGTACTTGATGTTGGCATCCTGCAGAGCCTTGGTGATGGCCTCCTTGGCAAAATCCGGATAGCAGACATCAGCACGACGGCCGGGCTTCTCGAACTGCAGTCAGAGAGACACACCAAAATAATGATAAAACAAAAGACAGCACAAAGGTCAAACTTCAGCGGTCGTACCTTGGTCATGCCGACGCCGATAACGTATACTCTTGTCTTGGTCATTTTTCCTGTGTTGTGTGGTGTGTGGTGCCCGCTGAACTGAATAAATTGCGGTGGAATCAACCGTTTGCTTCTTTATATACCCGGCTGATAAGAACGAACAGCTGACGGGAGCACCGTTAATGGAGCTAGAAATTTGAAACTTGCTTGCGCGCTGTTGTTGCTGTTGTTGCATACATCAATGAAATAATGTTTCTAATAAATACAGTACCAATATATTCCATATATCAGGTTATATTATATTACCTATGTATGTATCTCATTTTGGTATTTTCTAAATTTGTTTATTTTAATGATGTGGCAGCCCCACCAAGCACGCCGACACAGCCCTGTTCTTTTGGTCACACATGCACACAGCACCAATCGCACATATGACAGCAAGTGTACGAAATAAGCAATCGAAAACAAAATTTGTTAATAGTTTTAATAGGGAAAAGTAACACCAAACAAGAATAATTATAAGACGAAAACTAAACCGTGCATTCATCTGAAACACATGCATATGTATGTAATTGCACAGCCAGTTAGCTTATCCGTCCGTCTGTGTTCCAGCATTCGGCAATGCTATCTGCATTTTTTAAATATAAACAATAACAGCAAGTAAGTTTTAAAACATAATATCAATTATGTTTCTAACTGTTTTTTTTTCATTTAATAGAAATGTTTCCATGTTTGGTTAAAGGCTGCCCAAGTCATGAGCGTTCATACCAGGTACCTGTTGGAAATCGCAAATTTTGGTTGGCAAACCTGGGAATTCTTTGGGTGAATAGCCGCCATAGGATCTGTGCAAAGCATTTCCGAGAGGAATGCTTTTTGAATCGTGGAAAGCTTCGAGTAGGAAGTCTACCCACGGAAAATCTAGGTAAGCTGTGGCATAAATGTAAGCAATGCATTATTAACTTTATATTTATTTAAATACATTTTAGGTCGTGAGGCATTGTATCAGCCAGAGTTCAGTAGGCATCAAAAACGAAACATAGAACAAATTAAAATGATCAAAAGCAAAGATCCGATGACTGCTGATAGCTTGGAAAAAGAGGCCGGATCCGAATTGGAAACATATTTAATTGAAGATCGGCTGTCCGATGAAGTTGAAGATCTTGCGTCCGATAGCATGGATGCAGATACTCCATCTCAATCCGAACTTATTTTGTATTTGCAACAAAGAAATAACGAGCTGCAAGCAGAGGCAGAATGCCTACGCGCAGAAAATATTAAGCTAAGAAGGGAAAACACATCGTTAAAGAGAAGTTTTGAAATGCATAATTGTTTGTTCGAATAAACACATGTTATTACCCATATTATGCATATACAAATAGTTACAGATGTATGTTCTAAATGTTGGTATTTTAATGATGTGGCATCACTACTTCGGCTCCGAATCAACTCTGTTCATTTTGTAAACACACGCACACAGGCTAAGGAAAACATAAACATTAATATTAAATAAGGAAAAAAGTGATAAACTATTAACTAAGAGTAAGGAAAACCACAACATAAATAATTGTCAATTGAGTGGCACAGGTTTCTGCAGAAGTTGTGCATACATACTTACATATGTATGCAAATACACAGCCAGTCAGTCGATCCATGCGTCTGTGTCCCATCGTTCGACAAAAGTACCTACAGCCCCGCCCACCGAACTGAGCAAATGGATCTTCGCCTCTTTTCGTTATAAATAAACAGGAAATGGATTCAAATAAAACACCCGCAGCTTCGCCAGTGAGCAAGTAAGTTTTACCTAATGTCTAAATGTAACTTATAATTGATTCTTAACGTTTTAGAGAAAAATGGCCATGTTTGGTAAAAGACTGTTCCGGGCATCCGCGCTCATACCAGATCCCGTTAGGAAACAGCAAATTTTGGTACGCTAATCTTGGCATACAAGTAGCGCGAAGGCGCTCTAGGGTCTGCGCAAAACATTTCCTGGAGGAATGTTTGTCGCTAAATCGTCTTCGCATGGGGAGTGTTCCAACTGAAAATTTAGGTAAGTTGCAGGATAAGCGATATTGAATGTGCATTAATTGTATTTTGTTTGTAATTTTAGGCCGTGATCCAGTGTATGTACCTAAATTTAGCAAACATCAAAGAAGAAGCATAAAGAAAGCCAAAACGAAAATAAAAGATCCGTCGGAAAGCTTAGAGAAAGTGAACGAAAAAGATATACAGATTGAAGATCGACTATCCGCTGATGGCTGGGAAGAAGAGGAGGATATATCAGAATTTGACAATTTTATCGTTGAAGATCCACAGTCCGACGGCTCGGAACAAGCCGAAATGGGTGCCTATGACATTGAAGATCATTCACAGTCGGAAATAACATTACAATCAATAAATTCGTATTTAAAGCAGAGAAATAATGAGCTGCAGGCAGAGGCTGAATGTCTACGTTTAGAAAATTCTCAATTAAGAATGGAAAACATTTCCCTAAAACGAAGTTTTGAAATACATAAACGTATGTACGAATAAAGGAATATATATATTTTTTTATTGGTTTGTGTGCCAGAAAATAAATATTTAAATGAATTAAAATTTAGCGGCTGTTTTCAATATGAATACCATAAATTGCGGTATTACATTTTGGTATTGTTCTTTTGTGTCTTTCTACCATATGGCATCCCAACTATAGACACCGAATCAACCCTGTTCTTTTTGTTTGCACACACACACGCACACTTTCACGATGAAACAATCACAAACACTGCAGCTTTCAGTAAATAAATAACAAATAAACAAGTAAAATGTATAGATAGGTAAAAAGTGAACATAAAAACTGTAATATATAGGAGCGCGAACTTAAATTAAACCAATTCCATTTGAAATGGAGTGGGTAAGGTACGTGAAACTCTAAATACACACACATCTATGTATACATACATGTAATTACACAGGCAAGTCCGTCCGTCAGCAGGCAGTGTGGCAGCGTTCGGCAACTGTCGAACGATCTTCCATTCTTATTCTTTTAAATAAAAAATGCAAATAATAATAGAAAGCTTCATGCATGACATTATGCACTTCTGGCTTGTTGAGATGTGCCATTGAACACTTGTTTTTTGCAGGCCAATTGTTAAGTGTTTGGTAAAAGGTTGCTCCAGCCATGAGCAAACGTTTTTTGTCCACAAAGGAAATCGCCAGCAGTGGTACGCGAATCTTGGAATAAGTGGAGCACCAACCCGCGCCAAGGTGTGCATGAAACACTTCCTCGCTGAATGCTTTGTGAATGGAAGGCTACGAATAGGAAGTCTTCCCACTGAAAATTTGGGTAAGCTAAACATAAAATTCAAAAGGAGCATCTAATAATTGAATTTGCTTGCAGGGCATGAACCATTGCACAGACCTGTGTTCAGTAGATGGCAAAAGCGATATCGACGTCGCGTAAAACCCGAACAAAAAACTGAACGTGATAATGGAGAAAAAAATGCAGAGGAGGAACCCTTGTGCAAAAGCCGAAGCGTTGAAAGTCCGCTGTCCGCTGAGAGCTTGGCACTATTGGAACAAGCCGCAGATGCTGAATTCGAAAAGTATATCGTTGAGGACGAAATGTCCGAAAGCGGGGAGCCAGCCACACATTCCGAAAGTCCGGAAAATGATGAGTGCATCATTGAAGACCAATTGTCCGATGGCAGCATGGAAGCTGCTTCCCAGTCTCAATCCGAGTCATCGTTAGTTTTGTATTTGCAACAAAGAAACAATGAGCTGCAAGCCGAGGCTGAATGCCTGCGCGTAGAAAATAATCAGCTTAGAATGGAGAACATATCCTTAAAGAAAAGCTTTGAGATCCATAAATGTTTCTTCGAGTGAAAGAACTAGTTAGGAACATGCCAACACCTCATAAAATGAAAAGTTTGTCATATAATCAAATCGCTTGTTCGTCGACATGAACATTTTCATTACACTACATAATTCGTTTAAGATAATTATAGTGTGTTATAGAATTAATGTGTATATATAACAAATATATTTCTATGCAGACGTACAATCATTGATAAACTTCAAATTGATAACCGCCATCATTTGCTGCAGTATATTTCTCGGTATTTTTTTCATGTCATCGATCTTTGTATGTATCGGTGATGATAGATACTCCCATCACTATAGAATAAGCGACGCTTGTTTTTTGTTTCGCGGTAAATTGTTTGTTTGCCAACTTCTGTGTGTTCTGTGCAATGGAGGAGGAGCACGACTTTCAGTTCATCTTGCCGCTGAATCCCACGGATCTGGTAAACTCCTGCGGCGACCAGTACTACGTCAAAGAGGTGTACAGCAACAAAGAAATACCCGAAAAACTTCTCGGTAAGTGGCGCGTCCGACGCGTTCAAACCAATGTACAGTGAAATCTGTAATCACCATCTGTACTTTTTACAGAGTGCAAGAGTAAGCTAAACCACAGCAAGGATGCCTTCTACATATTCGAGACCTTCGACACGTTCTTCTCGATCATCGAGTCGAGCGGCACGGATGCGGGCTCCATTAAGAACCTGATGCGCGCCTTCGATCTTCTCTACGTGACTGTGGACAAGCTGCGCACTGGCCTCTCGGAGACGCTCGGCAGCAAGGAACCGCCCTCAAATCAGACGCGCAACTCCCACCTGAATCTCAGCAAGATGACGCTCTATCTGCAGGTGAATCTGGTCAAGAAAATCGACACCGTCCTTCAACGTGCGATGCGCGACCAGCAGCTAAATGTGCAAAAGAAGCGCGGCAAGCAGTCGGAGACCCTGGAGCAGTATCCCGACTGGGATGTCAAGCGCGGCAACTTTCTCGTTCAGCTCTTTAATGTGCTGCAGCTGCCGCTGGAACGTCTATGGAGTCCACCCGTGGCCGAAGAAGATTTTATATCGTAAGAAGTTTGATCTGTAAGCCATTACGTTCCCTTTTTCAACCATTTTCTCTGCTATTCAGCATGCTCTGTGACATTTGCTACCGCACTTTGGAGCTCTCACCGCTGCGCAACGACAATCGGCATATTTTCAATACAATTTTCCAAATTTTGGGCACCTGCATTAAGCGCTTCAATCAGGCCATGACCTTCCCGGCGCGCATCCTGCAGATCCTGCGCGGCACCGAGCACGCTGCCGTGACTGTGGCCAATGGCATATTGACGCTGCACGAGGAGTACGGCATCTCCTCGGTGTTCTCCATTCTGATCAAGAGCATTGTGGAAGCGCTCAAGCTGGACAGCGCTGACACGACAGTGTCCAAGCACTTTTCCGCCTTTCTCTTGGAGTTTTCGAACATTGCGCCGGGGCTGATAATTCCTCACCTGTCGAAACTCGGGGAGGAGCTGCTCGACTGCCAGTCGCACATGCTGCGGAATACCGTGCTGCAGATCATTGCCGATGCAGTGATCAGTGATCTGACAGCCGAGGATCTCAGCGAGGAGATGAAGGAGGTGCGCAACGAGTTCCTCGATCATCTGTACGATCACATTCTGGATGTTTCCGCCCATGTGCGCTCCAAAGCGCTGCATATTTGGGTGCACCTGAAGACCCAGCATGCAATTCCGCTCAATTATCTGTCCAAGGTGGTGGCTGCGGCTGTGGGGCGGCTGGAGGACAAGAGCTCGCTGGTGCGCAAGGCTGCCATGCAGCTGATAAAGTCCACGCTCGAGAGCAATCCCTTCTCTAGCAAACTGTCGCTGGAGGAGCTGCTGCAGAAGCACAAGGCGGAGGTGGAAATCATGGAGAAGCTCACCGAACATCTAGAAGCGGAGCGCAAAAAGGAAGAGGAATTCAATGAGCAATGGGGCGACACGGCCCAAGAGATGTTGCCACACATCGAGAAGCATCTAACAGAATGTAAGTCAGTCTCTTTCCATGCCCAGCTCGTTTGCTAATCGCTATTGCAGTTCCCAGTTTAGAGTTTGACAAGGAGGAAACGGACGAGGAGCTGCTGGAGAAAATACTGCCGCTGCTGCGCGCAAAAGACTACAAAAAGGTTTTCATTCTGGTGCGCAAAATCGACTTTCTGGCTGGGAATCACGAAGCGGCGTAAGGTTTTAGTTTGCTTTATATTAACTTGATGGCTGACCTCTATCTCTCCCTCTCTTTTAAGTGCCGCATTGAAGTTCGAGGAGCGTGTGGTCTATTTTCTGGCGCTGCTTAAGAGCTACCATCTCCTGGCCGCAGGTCTACAGCTAAATGTGGGTTCCATTCCGCTCCTAAAAATCCTTTTTTGCTCATAAATTTACTCCCCTCTCTTTTGCAGAACGAGGAAATGGTAAAGCAAATCAAAACCGTGCAGTTCCTCAAGGATAGCATTGAGTTCACGACCATTGTGACGGATGCGTATCCCAAGCTGCAGGATCTGCTCATGTCCAAGACAAACACGGATGTCCTCGAGGCCGTGGATCTCTTTACCACCGGCTACATGTTCGGCATCTGTGGCACCGATGCGGGCATGCAGAAGATGCTGATGCTCGTGTGGAGTTCCGACAAGGAGAAACGCGATGCTGTGTCCGAGGCCTATCGCAGGGTGCTCTTCACCACAGACCTACAAGCGCGCGCCCATGCAATCAGAGTCGTGCAGAATCTGTCGAAATTTCTCGCCATTATCGATTATGGGCACTATCTGTCGCTGGAGACGTTGATGGCTGAGTGGGTGCATTCGGGGGAGATAGACTCGGCCGTCATTCAGGTGCTGTTCGAGCGCTTCACCCTGAAGCTGGAGGGCACCACCAGCAGCGAGGCGCGACTGGCACTCGAGCTGCTGATTATGGCATCGAAGGCAAAGCACAGCATTGTCACCGCCAACACGGCCATCATTGAGGACATAGCCGTCGGTGAGCGTGCGCGTCGCGAGCCTCGACTTTTCGCCAGCTGCCTGCGTCTCCTGCTCAATGGCATCGATGCCAATAATAATGCAAAGTACTACAAGCGGCACAGCACGGATGCCGAGTTCGTGAAGCAGGTGAAGCGCTTCTTCTTTGACTGTTTCTTCCACCAGAAGCTAAAGGACTTTGATGGCATGGCCACGAGTGTGTTTGAGTACATCTATCGCATGTGCCAGTCGCCGGATGTGCTGTCCCAGGAGCTGCTCAAGGAGCTACTCAAGAGATTCTACAAGAACTGGCTGGTGTCCGCTTCTTCAGAGAGTGGGGATGTTGATTTGGATGCGGATAAGGAAAACGAAAACGAACCACCACTGACACAGCCCACAACCATTCCTTACTCGCAGTCGCTGGCCATTCCACAGACGCAAACGCAGGGCGGAGGCAGCCCGAGCCCAGGCGGTCGCATGCCCGTTTTTATGGTTTCCCGTTTTGTCTTCTGCATTGGCTACATGACCATCAAGGAGATGATATTCCTGGACATGGATGTCTACAACAACATGAAGTACCGTGAGGAGCTCACCGCGCAGCAGGAGAAGGATACGCGCACCAAGGAGGCGGGCAGAAAGGCCGCCCAACAGCTGCGCCGCACCCTGAACGTCTCGGCCATGGAGGTGCGCAAGCGTTTGTCCAATTCAGCGGCCGAGCCGCAGCAGGAACCGGATGAGGATCTAGTGGGTGCCACAGCGGAGGATAACATTGCCGAGGAGATTCATGCCATCTGCGAGGATATGTTGATGTACGATCCGAACGGACTGCTGCACTGGCTGACGCCCGTCATCATTGACATCTGCAAGAAGCCGGGCGAGTACCGCGATCCCAAGCTGCAGCAGGCAGCGACCCTCACGCTGGCACGCCTGATGTCCGTCTCGTCGCGCTTCTGCGAGTCGAACATGTCCTTCCTGATGAACATTCTCAATCTGACGAACAACATTACGATCAAGTGCAACACGGTGGTGGGGCTGTCGGATTTAACCTTCCGCTTTCCGAACATCATTGAGCCGTGGACGGGTTACTTTTACGTGCAGCTGCACGAGACGAACACAGAGCTGCGGCTGACGGCCATCAAAATGCTCTCACATCTCATACTGAACGAGATGATACGCGTGAAGGCGCAGATCTCGGACATGGCTCTGTGCATTGTCGATGAGAACGAGGAGATTCAAAACATCACCAAGGAGTTCTTCAAGGAAATAGCCAACAAGTCGAATATCCTCTACAACGTGCTGCCCGACATCATTTCACGGCTGGGCGACACCAATCTGCGGCTGGAGGAGCCCAAGTATCGCATTATTATGGCCTACATTTTGGGTCTCATCCAGAAGGATCGGCAGATCGAGACGCTGGTGGAGAAGCTTTGCCTGCGCTTCCCCGTGGCTCGTGTGGAGCGGCAGTGGCGCGACATTGCCTACTGCCTCAGTCTGCTCAGCTACAACGAGCGTTCGCTCAATAAGCTGCTGGACAACATGCAGCACTATCGCGACAAGGTGCAGAACGACGAGGTCTACCAGTCGTTCCGGCTGATCATCAGCAACACCAACAAGCTGGCCAAGCCCGAGCTGAAGGCCGCCGTCACCGAGTTCGAGACGCGTCTCAACGAGTGCCTCGCGGTCAAAGATCCCTCCGCCGAGGCAGCCGACAGCAGCCAGACCGACGAACCACGTTCGGCCAACAGGACTAGGGCCGTCGCTGCCAACAAAAAGAAGAAGGGCGGCCGCAAGCCAACTCCGCCCTCTGCTGCCAGACGCACTGCACGGGGTCGGCGGACAGCCCGCTCTCCTCAGACTTCCTCCGACGATACCCTCTCCAGTGATAGCGACTGAATGTGCTTCATTTTACATTATATGACTATTTTAGAAGATCGTTTTTAACATTTTAACATAAAAAACAAAACAAAAATATTTGCAGTGGTATTTTAAAGCAACCTATGGATATACTGCTCCGGTATATTATTGGTATTCAGCTAACGTAATCGAAGTTGACGATCAAACTTGGGCCTAGAAACATCGCCCAATTTCAAATTCGATCAAGCAACTGATCTATGTCACGATCTGTGATCTGTAAGGTTTTTTAATTGCAACTAAAATGTGGTTACAATACCTAACGTTACTTCTGTTTTATCACGTTAAATTCCGTCATATTACATTACGGTATCTTTCGATATATTTGTTAGGCTCCTGCGGTATATTTGATCGACCACACCGCGGTCACACTGCCCTAGACAAAACAACTAAGATTTTAATCATTCGGCTTAAAGCACTAGTAGCGGTCTTACCTGTTTTGTTAATTTCAAATAATCACCTGTACCTGCATCTCCAAGATGACCAAGACCCGTGTGTATGTTGTCGGTGTGGGCATGACAAAGGTGTGTGCACAAAATACACAAAAGAAAGTGGCCCTGTCCAAGGAGAAGCTGCGAAAAACTTTGTTCAAGCGAAAATTGAGCAATAATAACGATAATCGCTACTGGACTTTGATCTGGGGTGCACTTCGGTCACTAATCTGAATGCTCCCGAACGCCCGGTGGCATTGTATATAATTATCGCATTGCTAGCCCCCACTGAAGTGGCCCGATTAGAATAAAATCAATTTAAGCTCTTCCGCCGACTGGTTTTAGCAGTCGTTGAGGGAACTAACAAACCTGTAACTAATTGGAATTTATCTCTGTCTGCAGTTCGAGAAGCCCGGCCGTCGTGCTGATGTCTGCTATCCGGATTTTGCCAAGGAGGCCATCACCAAGGCTCTGCAGGATGCCAACATCAAGTACGAGGAGGTGCAGCAGGCGGTGACTGGTTACGTCTATGGCGACTCCACCTGCGGCCAGCGTGGACACATACTCCACCCTTACTGGCCGTAAGGGCAGATGTTACACTTGTTGTTGACGAGGTGTCCTAGGTCGCGGGACATGGACCGGTTCGTCTAGTAGCTCAGACCGTGGAGGCTGACACACGACCGGGACCCGAAGCTCTTCTACCTCGCACCGAGTGACCGTAGTTTCCACCCTGTTAGGAAGATGAACAATAATAAATTCTTATTATAATCTCAATCATGTACCAACAGTATTTTGACCGTGCCAATCCCATGGAGCGTCACATCACCGAGATGAGCGAACTTACCGAAATTGGACCTGGACCCATGGCTGCTCAGATCTTTGGGAATGCTGGCAAGGAACACATGAAGAAGTATGGCACCAAGCCCGAGCACTTTGGCAAGATCGCCTGGAAGAACCACAAGCACTCCGTCAACAATCCGTATGTAGATTCCACTTGTTTTTTGTGTATTTATATTCATAATCTTATCTCTGGTAAATTGTTGCAGCTACTCGCAGTTCCGCGATGAATACACTCTGGAGCAGATTATGAAGTCGCCTCAGGTGGTCGAGGGAGTGCTGACCAAACTGCAATGCTGCCCCACCTCCGATGGCTCTGGTGCTGCCATCCTGGCCTCCGAGCAGTTCGTGCGTCGCCATGGCCTCGAGAAGCAGGCTGTGGAGATTGTGGGCATGGAAATGGCCAGTGATCCAGCATCCACATTCGCAGACAAGAGCCTCATGAAGATCGCTGGCTACGATATGACTGCTTTGGCCACTCAGCGTCTGTTTGCCAAGAGCGGCTACAAGCCACAGGATGTGCAGGTGGTGGAGCTCCACGATTGCTTCTCCGCCAACGAGCTGGTGACCTACGAGGCATTGGGCTTGTGCGGCGAGGGCAAGGCTGGCGAGTTCATTGATCGCGGAGACAACACTTATGGCGGCAAGTTCGTGGTGAACCCCAGCGGTGGACTCATCTCCAAGGGTCATCCTCTGGGCGCCACTGGCCTGGCCCAGTGCGCTGAGCTGTGCTGGCAGCTGCGCGGTCTGGCCGAGAAGCGACAGGTGCCCAATGTGCAGCTTGCCCTGCAGCATAATCTCGGACTGGGTGGCGCTGTGGTGGTGGCTCTGTATCGCCTGGGCTTCCCAGCGGCCAACAGTGTGATGCACAATCTGACGGCTGCTGCCAAGGCGGCCACCAGTGAGGATGGCTTCAAGGTGGCGCCGCTGCTGAAAGTGCTCGAGCAGGCCATGCAGGAGGACAAGGATAATCTGATAGAAAAAGTGCGCGCCGTCTATGGCTTCAAGGTGAACAATGGACCCCAAGGCCAGACTGGCTTCTGGGTCATCGATGCCAAGCAGGGCAAGGGCAAGATCGTTTTCAATGGCACACGTAAGTGAAATTAAATTAATAATCACTTTTTATGGCTGATAATTCTGCACTTTGCTTTTGCTTGTAGAAAAATGTGATGTCACTTTTATCATCAGCGACGAGGATGTGTTTGAGCTGCTGACGGGCAAGCTGCCGCCACAGAAGGCCTTCTTCCAGGGCAAGATTAAGATTCAGGGCAACATGGGCTTTGCCATGAAGCTGATGGATCTGCAGCGCTCCGCACAGGGTCGCATTGAGGAGCTGCGCTCGAAGTTGTAAGAAATCCGAGTGGGGTTGATGCAGCGATTGTCTACATTCCGTCTGTCGTTTGTGCCTTTTGTGTCTTTGGCAATTCTCTTTTCGGCTTTGGATCTGTTGAACCGCTTTTTGTACGATTTTTGTATTATTTTTCTAGAGATTAAAATTGTTATAAATTAAAGCCTTTCCCTGGCTCTCTTTCTCTTTCCCAGAGTGGCTTACTACCCGCGTAGCTGCCTAGCAAAACAGATTCCCAATAATTATTTTATTTGCCTTGTTTTTTGTACGATCCGAATCTTTATTGTTTCATCAACGTGTAAGCTGGCTTAATGTCTAGAGTTATATATGGTGTATATAGTATATATATCATAATTATCAATGTGTGTGTATTGTTCTACGCACGTTCCAAAAACACTTTTCAAAAAAGTTGTTTAAAGGGAAATGAAACTGGGACTACTTGGCTCACTTTTTAACGATTACTTTGTGTGTGCGGTGTGCACATGATATATATATATATATATATATTTTATATAGGGTATATGTATATAAGGGAACTTTACCCTTTTAAAAACTGCTCAATTGTTGTATCTAAAGAGTGCTTGCGTGTGTGTGTTGTGTGTTGTAAATAAATTAGAAAACTACAAACTCTATCTCAAGTGTCAACCGCATTTTGAGCTTAATTCTAATTTCATTATCAAATATAGGGTGTGTGTGTGTGTATTGTGTGTGTAAGTTCCAAGCATTATTTACTTATATACAATTTTTGAGGGGAGTGGGGAACAACTTTTCTGCACGTACTCTAAAAAAAACGAGACACTTTCCGCACGGCTTGCGTTAGACGTTAGATCCTGTGTCGGTGTTATCGTAAATATACAATCAAGAGTGTCCATGTAGGAGCCTCTTCTCAGCTCACCCGCTCTGCTCCCACACCGACCCGCACTCAATAGCTGTGGCTGCTGGAGTTTGTGTAGGAGGAGAGCGCGCTATTCGTTGTCGCCGATGTGGTTGTTGTCGCTGAGGGTAGGGTTGATGACGATGGGTTGCTGCCACCCGCTGCCGGCTTGTCCATGCTGGCCATTATGGAGCCCAGCAGATCCACGGGTGTCTTGGGCACTCCCTTGTGGCTGGTGGCCACACGACTGTGCCCTGTGCCAGGCCCTGCAATGATGATTTTGTGCGAGGGCAAACTAAACGTCTTGTAGGTGGTCTTCATTGGGCTTGCTGTGGCTGCAGCTGCTCCTACGGCTGTTCCTGTGACGTTGGTGGGTGGTGGCGGCGGAGGTGCTGCTGCTCGTAGGGGTGGCATTGGAGGCAATGGCGGTGCTGCTGTTAGCGTGGGCAAAACCACAGACATCCGGCCGAAAGGCGCCATTGTGGCGGGTATAACGACTTTAACAATTTGAGGAGCATTGGGCGCTGGACTCAGGGTGGGAAGTGGGGGTCCAATGGGTGCTGGACTGAGCGTGGGCAGCGGGGGACCAGTGGGTGCTGGACTAAGGGTGGGCAGCAGGGGACCAGTGGGCGCTGGACTGCGAGTGGGAAGTGACTGACCAATGGGCGCTGGACTCAGGGTGGGAAGGAGTGCAGGAACTGCTGCTGACGCAACAGCAACTGCTGTGGGATTAGGCGTATGATTAAGATTAGTTGCTGGAGCAAATTTAAGTGTCGGCATTGGAGCAGCAGAAGGAGGAACAGCGGGAGCCGTAGCAGCATTGATCTTTGGCGCCACAACAAGCTTTGGCATAGCAGCAATTGGTGTAGCAATGGGAGCGGTTGGTGCAGCAGTTACTTCAGTTTCCATTTCCACAATTTCCTCTGCACAGACCTCCGTCACCTCCTCCTCATGATCGACCACCAATTGGGGTGTGCTCTCCACAATCAATTCGCTGCCCACATGCTCCAAGGGATGTGGATTTGTGGGCTCACTGGTGGAGTTACTGCCTCTGCTGATTGTATCACTTCGACTGTTCGTCGTTGGCGCATCCGAAACTATTTTCACTTCAATTTTGATTTCGGGTTCCTTTTGATTGAGGCTCTCGCGATGGTTAAAGGGTGTCTGAGGCACTAATGGAGGCGGCAGTGCTGCCACAATGGCAGACGAAGGCAGAGATGGAGCAGCAGTTGCAGGAGGAGGAGGAGATGCTGCTGAATTGGAGCTGCTCAGTCTTGGCATTTTAGCTGGTGTCGGCGAGGACGTGGGCGAGGACTGATGTTGTTTTTTGGTTGTGTTGTGTTTATCCTTCTCCTTGTCCTTATCCTTTTCGTTCTTGCTGGAATCGCGCGTCTTTTCCTTATCCTTTTTGGGCTGCTTCTCCTTCTCCCCGTGACTTTCGAGCACTGTGGCTGCCGCCTTTGTCAGCTTGTACTTTTGCTCCAAAACCATTTTCCGCATGTCTATTTTGGAGTCATCTTTGCTGGGCTTCTTCTTGGGTGTGTTGCTGCCACTGCCACTGCTGTTGATGTTTGGACTGCTGCTGCTGCTGCCACCGTTATCCTGATGGCTTTGTCGTGGCGAGGCATTGCCACCCGCGTCGTCCATGCTGCTTTCACTCGAGCGACGCTCCTTGCCATCCAAATCGATGAGCTTCTTCTTGGCCAACTTGCCGCCATCGTGGCCGCGCTTTGAGGGCGTCTTCTTGCCACACTCGTCGTGGCCAATGGGATTGGGTAAAATGGTTTGCTTCTCCTTGTAGTGCGGCGTCTCGGCCAGCACAGGATTATTCTGTTCATTTATCACCTCCTGGCCGGGATAATACTGACGGAGGCGCAGGTGCCATGCTGAAAGATGGAAACAGAATTAGCTTTGGGAATACCCAGGGGAAGGACTTGCCACTTACCAACGCTTGTCACAGCCGTCACCGTGCGAAACTGATGGATAATGTTGCGTGGCAGAAAGTAAATGTCATTGTCGCACAGCTGAATGCGCGCATAGCGAATGCCCTCGCGTCTGAGTTGATTCAGTTTGGCATCCTCGATCCACTGCACACACTGCGAAATGGGCGGCTCGTGCAGATCCAATTGCAGCATTTCCACCATGGTATTAAAGTCCTGAGCGGCAAAGGCAACCACATCCTTGGTGATGCGATTCTGTGTGTAGGATTGTCCGCAGTGAACGGCTTTTAAAATGCCTTAAAAGAGAACAACAAAAAGTCAAAAGTAAACCAAGTTGCAGGAGGAGAACGCTGAGGCTGCCTACCAACTGCTGCTGTTGTGATACGCTCGTGTCCGTGGCCCACATGATCCGCATGCGCCTTGGTGCGATCCTCAATCATGGTTTCGCGCGCCTCCGACAAACGTGGCAGATATTGCAAGTTGCGCAGCTCATTGATGCGAGTTCTAAGTGAGGGTTTAAGGATTAGAAATTGTGCTAAAAGTACCAATCATAGTGTTCCCTCACTCACCTCTGTCTCTTGAGTGGCGTCTTGCTGTTTAGTTCCGCTGTGGGCACCAACTGCTCGCCAGCGCGTATCCATAGTATAGGTCCATCGTTTGACTGACGCGGATCCGTTTGCAGTATGGAATTACAAGCCCAAGGCATGGTCTACAAAGTAAAGAAAAAACCAAGTTAAGAGCGTGCACAGAGAGATATAAAGAGTGAGTTGTTGAGTTAACCTTTCGCAGAAATGGATTCTTTTCGATGCGTCCGAGTAGATCAGGAAAGTAGCCGCCAACCTCCTCATGCACTTTGCCCACCAAGCTGATTTGATGCAGCGGTCCATAGCGAAAAGTGCCCTGGCAGTAGTTACGCACCACCTGCAAAAGGAAAGCCATTAAAGGGGAGTTCTCCGAGGGAAAGCTGCCCACGCACCTGTTCGTTGTACTGTGCCATTGTGCAGGTCTCAATGTCCGAATTTCGTCCGAGTACACCAGCCTTTACCGTCAGCGTGGAATAGTTCTCAGCCATGTGCTCCAACAGATCGGGTATATATCGTGCCGAATCGTGCACAATGCCCATCACGTGGTGCGCATAACCCTGCTCATCCTCGGCAAAGCAAACGCTAAAGAACTCATCCACCAGCTCCTCCATTTCCTCCGGCGAGAGATCATCGATTTCGTGCTGATACAGATGCACGATGGAGGCGCCACCATTTGGGTACTGCTCCACTTGGAAATAGCAGCCGTATTTGAGATTTTCCAGGCCAGCGGGTGCCTTGCGATTGGGCGAGGGTGGCAGGCTTTGGACCGTCTGCCAGGGTCCAGCTACCGGCGCCTGCGGCACACATTGAACACCAACGCTGGTGCGACGTATCTTGGAGCGCTTGTAGCACTTGGAACAGTCGCGCGAAGACGAGGATGATGAGTGACGCGAGGAGGAGGAAGATGACGACGAAGAGGAGCTTTTGTGATGATTGCTGCTGCTGCTGGAAGAAGACGTGGAGGAGGATGACGACTTGCGGCTGCTGTTTAGGCTGGAGGAATGATTATTGCTACTGCTGCTGTTGCTGTTGCTCGACGAGGATGAAGATGAAGTCTTGGCCGCCGGCGAAGGCATCAGTACGGAAGACGAGGAGGAGTTGGATGTGGAGCCCTTCCAGGTCTTATTGGCGCTAAAGTTCAACTGTCGCGTGACCTCTTCACGTGTTTTGGCCGCCGTTGCATCGCCATTCATCAATGGCTTCACCTTGACACCGCTTGACTCCTTTTTGATGTCCAATTCGGGCTTGATGAGGTTACTACTAAGTACGGGAGGAGCAACTGCTGCCACATTTGGCTCCACTTTGATTTGCTTTGCGCCTTCTTCCACTTTGATTGGCTGCTCCACTTTGATTGGCTGCTCGAGTGCGGCCACCACGGCCTGCTGTAGCTTGCTGGAACTGCTATTGGTATTGCTGCTGCTGCGACTGCTGTCCGAGCTGCGGCGTCGATGCGAATGTGACGAGGAACTAGACGATGATGATGGAACCTAAGCGACACACAGAAAATTAGTTGGAAATTAATTTCAGATTCAGCTGCGCAAAGTTCTCGAGAAATCTGTTTGCTCAGCTGGCAAATGGAACGACATTTAAGTACCTTCTCCCTATCGCGATCCCGCTCTCTGTCCCTGTCCCTATCCCGATCGCTTTTGTGATACTTTTTGTCCTTGCTGCGTGAAGAGCTGGATGAGGTGGAGGAGGAGGATTTTAAGTTGCTGCGCTCACGATCGCGATCCTTGCTGTTGCTATTGCTGATGCTTGTGCTGCTGCTGCTGTTGCGACGACTCTTATCGTCATCCCGTTCGCGCTCCTTATCTTTTTTCTTCTTTTTGTGATTGCGCTCTTCTTGAGTAAGATAAATAAATACATATAAAAGTAGTTTGGCATCGGAATGGCAATGAAAATCTTTCCCTTTTTACCTGTTTTGTTGCTGTTTAAATTATCCGCTGTGGCTGCCGCTGCTGCTGCTGTTTCTGTGGCATTTGCATTCCCATTGCCCGAAATCACTTCTGCCTCTGGCTGTGGCTTCTCTGCTTGTTTTTGTTGCTGTATAGCGTTTGTGTTTGTATTTGTGGCTGTTGCTAGTGGCGCATTGGCATTTCCGCGGCTGGTGTCGTCTTCTGCGCTGTTATTTTCCACCTTCGCCGTTTTGTTTACAGATTCGATTTGTTGCGGCATCGGCGACGTCTCCGTTGTTGTTGTCGGTGTCAAATCTTTGCTTATCGCCGCCTCTTTGCCCTTGCAACTGACACCCGTCTCCAACTCTTTCATTGCGGCAACGTCTGAGAGGAGAGCGGCGACGGTGTCGACCGGGGCGGCGGGTTCTACATTATTTTCGCCTCCACCTAATGTGTTTTCCATGGCGGTGTGTGTGTGCGACCCCCCGTACTACAGCGTGTTTTTGCGGTATGTGTGTGTACGTGTGTGAATATCGATCAGCACTAGGACCGTCGTCGTTTGTCGACGTCTACGTGACGCTACTCACCTAGGCGTGCTTTTATCTTACGTATTGTTTGCGAAATCACACGCACTTGCTCATGTGTGGGTGAGCATTTGTTGGCAAAATCGCGGTCCAGGTCCCCATTGTTTTCAAGAGAATAAAAATTCGCGTTCAATTAATGGCGTTCTCAAAATATACCGCAAATACCACAAGAGGTGATTAAATATACCAATTTATACCTACAGCTAAATTTGGGCATATAAAAATACCGAAAAGTGAAATTTTCGGTATATTGCGGGTACTCACGCAACTGATTGTGGTTTGCATTTGTAAAAACTTTGATTAAAGACGATCGGAAAAATGTAACTTTATTTCGAAAGGATTTCAACGTGAATTTGAACGTGTTGCAGGCGTATTTCTGTTGGATAAAAGACATTCAGAAACCGAAACTTCTGTTCAGTCTCAGGATTTAATTTCTATGCATGCCTCCGGCCTGCGGGCCATGGGCAGTGACTCGCTGCCCTCAGTAGACACGAGATTAAGTCTGGCCAGATTCGTGGCGCCATCCAGGACCTCGTCCTTTTTCACATGCAGCATATCGATCTCGGTGAGAGCAACATTTGGTTCCTAAAAAAAAGGAAAAATATAAACTTTAAATTGATAAATCCAAAGGGATGAACCCACCTTCTCCATGGCTGCATCGGAGACCTGCAGATGGTACTTGTCCTTGCAGTAGCGCGAGAGCAAGGCAATGCCCTGTTCCCGATTCTTGGAGTACTTCGTCTCCCAGGCGTCCAGCAGGCGGTTGTAGTAGCGCGCGTTCTCGATGTAACGCAAATAAATGTGCGTGCCGGATGTGGGAAAGATACGCTCGAGTGGCTGGCAGCGGGACTGCTCATCCTCGGCAGTGATCAGGCAGCGCACATCGTCGGGCAGCAGATTGTCCAGAATGGTGTCCACATACTCCTCGCGGAACTCGATGCTGCGATTGGTGTAGTGATTGTGCTTGCGCACCTCCTCGGCCGTCAGGCAGGTGGTGAAGATGCGCTTGTCGTGGCAGAGCGGACCCTTCAGGCTTAGCTCCTCGAGAATCTCCTGCTGCTGGCGTTCGTTCAGCTTGGGCGGCACCTGATATAGCGCTGTGTTAAGCACGGCCTGTATCAGCGGCCCCTTCACGTGCAGATCCAGCGGCAGCTCCGAGTGCAGCGACGGCGAAATGTTAATTTCTAGCAGCCACGGCACCAGATTCTCATCCAGCAGCACATCGAAGCCAAACAGCTCAAAGCAATTGTAACGAGAGTTCACATTCTGCCGGTACATGCGATTCAGCCCAGACTCTCCGCTGACGATGCCCTTGATGACCAAATTCCTCAGCGTGGCCCACAAGCGCTTGGTGTTGACGCCGCGACCCTCCAGGCAGGACCACAGCGACTGCAGCGTCCACTTGTGCCCCTGGCAGGCATTTACATCCTCATTCTTGGCATAGTTCTCCGAGAACTTGTTGATGCTGTAGTTGGTCAGGTGCATGCAGCGCTCATCGAGGTTGCTCAGCTCCGAGCTGTACTTGACGGAGGCAAATCGCGCCAGCCCATCCTTGTACATGTAGATGCGCAGCGGATTGATGGACGTCAGCACAACATATATGCGCATATCGAATTTGTTGTCATTGATCAACAGCGGGCGTTCAATGTATCTACAGAGGGAGAGGTGATTCGATTAAAGCGGGTTTAAAGGGTGTCTGTTGGCTGTCCTACTTTTGCACTACCAGCGGACGATCTTTGGGGAACTGACTCCATTTGTTGACAATGCGTATGCCAGTGCCGCGTGCACTCGCCGGTGGCTTAACAATCCATTTGGTCAGCTTTGAGGCATTCTTGGGCCACACCTGTCGCAAATGCTCCAAATCATCGGGCATTATGTAGGACCTAAGGAAGAGGATTTTATAGAGAGGTTTCAGGTATATTTTTGTCGCTCACTTTTGCATAAAACCAAAGTCCTTTTTGCCAAACTTTTTTAAGTTTTGATAGATGCTGCGCCACATTGTGTCCTTGCGTCCGATGCGGAATGAGCCAGGTATGTGATTGTACTTCTGATGCGAGCGTATCGTGCGAAAACCCGGACTCTTCATGTGCTTCTCCCACACAGCCATCCAGTCGGTGGTGTCTGCAAGTAGCAAGAGGGAATATCAAACAGCAAGGAAGGAAACCCCCCCGGATCACCCACTTTTGATGATGCGAAAGCCCGAATTAAGCACCACACGCTTCACAATCTTTGGCATGACAGGGCTGAGCTTCCACTTGAGCACACGATGGAGGGCAGCCGGCATGGGTGGACCCTTGTCCGCATGCGATGTAAAGTTCAGGTACGGCGGCACGTTGGGAAACAAGCTCGGCGAGAGTATGGCATCGGGTTTGGAGTACACCGACGCTTGCGAGCCTATTGACTCCTTGGACGCAGTCTTCTCGGGCAGCAGGCGCGTGTGACGACTCTGGTGTGTCTCCGTTTCGTCTTCGTCCAGAAAGAAGGGTGTGCCCACATACTCCTCCTCCGAGTCGGAGTCATCGTAGTTGTTAATTTCATCAATGTCTGGAGGAAAAGTCAATCATAAGATTGGTTTTATCTGCTGCAATTTGTTGCCTCACCTGCACACGGATCATCCTCGTTTAGTCTTAGACTATCGTGATTAGCCTTGTTCAGTGACACGCCCCCATATGTCGCATGTTCCACACCGCCAGACATCATCCTGGGCGTGGCGGTGTTCCCACCAGTGTTAAGAGGCGAATGGGCATAGAGAGAGGCATACAGACTCGTCTCCAGTGCCGTGGCTGCAGATTTGGTTAGACCATTTTGTGTTAGAATTTTGTTCTTGTCGTCATGTGGCTGGGCAAGCAGGCTGCTCCCATGGAAGGTATTAACAACAATCTTGCTGCCAGGCGTCAGGGTTTGTGTGCTTGTGCAGGACATGCTCGATATGGCATGACTGATGCCAGCAAGTTCGAGGCTCTTTTCGGTTCTGCTTGGACTGAGGCTTGATCGCTTGATGGCAGCGGTAGCAGCGGCGTGGCCTGGTTTACTGTTGCCATTGCTGTGGCTGCTATTGTTGTTGTTGTTTGCAAGATGTTTGGCAAAAGCTTCGTCTCGTGCACGCTTCAAAAGCATCTAAGTGGTTAGTACAAAGCGAGAGGGCAAGGAACATCGAACATCGAACAGCAACATCGAACCAAACAACAGGAAGCGTGGGCGGATCATGCGATGGGGATTTGTCAGGTGTAAGGGGAAGATCTCTACAGGGGCAGACACCCACACTCACCTGCACTTTCTTGTACGGCTCCGACTGCAGCAGGCCCGTGGCCACGGACACGGGTGTACCTTTGACCCCAGCGGATGTGCCACGGATTACAATGCGCTGCGCGGGCTGCGTGGATTGCGTGCTCTTGGCTGTGGAACCTGTGGGCGCAACCTTCTCTGTGACTAAACGTCGACGTGCGGCGGGTGGTGAGATTCTCTGTTTCTGCGGGGCGGGCGGGGAGCGGGCGGCGGCCGATGCCGAGGAAACTGACATCGAACGACTGCTGGCACCAGCGGAGCTACGCTGAGTGGCGGCTGACTGTTTGGCATGTCCTGGCTGCTGGTTGTGATTGTGTTGCGCCAGCTGCTTGCACATGACCATTTTGTCCTTGTACAGCTCCACCTCCTCCGCCCAAGACTCGTGGAAGTCGAGTATCTCAATGCCCTTTCCGCGCATCGCCTGTTTTTGCTGGCTCGAAATATTCTCCTTGGTGGCTCCGGCAGCTCCTCCCCCCGGTCGACCATTAGTCGTTGTTCGCTTCTCCGTTATCTGAGCCATTTTTCGGTCTCAAGGGGGAATTTTGATAACTGTAATGGAACGGAACGAGGGGAAATGGAATGCGATCGATTCGATTAGTTTTGGTTGCTGCTCCTCCAAAGTTTTGCTTGGCGGTGATGCTGCCAGCAACTGAATAATGCCACAATGGGATGGCAGCCGTTGGGCGATGTGTGTTCAAGGTGGCTGTGGGATGGGTGTGGGTATGGGTTCTCTGTCTGGCTATTACTTCACCACTGTGGCTGTGTGTGCGGCGTGTCAATGGCTGGCTATTTTCGACATGGCACAGCCCCAAGATCAGAACGCAGGCAGCAGCTGCGGCAGTGGCACGGATGCGGGGCACACTTTTCGTTGCTTTTGTTGGATTTTTGTTTTTTCTCTTATCTATCGATGGGGCAGCATCGATTGCCAATCGATCAACTAATTGCCAAAACAATTTTCACGCTACGAAAATAAACAAAATAAAAATCTGCTGACTTTCGCCTTCAATATTCAATCAACGAGCTGCCCTGTCTGCAGCTCCCTTCGCCGTTTGCCCGATTCAAAAAAAGTGTCAGTGGCGCGTAAAATTTCCTTATCGCAACCGGCACTTTTTGCACATGTGTGTGTGTGTGGGCGTGTGTGTGCGCGCACTTGTGTATACCCCACACGCATGTTGCACGCTGAACGCTTGTGTGGGTGCTCCCATGTCCAGATTTCCCTTTGCTTACCTTTTTCTGCACACTTTTTACATGCACACAAGTAATTTTGATTAATATTAATATACACCCAAAAAATTCATATATACAACACTTTACACGAGCACTAGATTTTGCTTTAAATATTATAACATGGAATTTGTTTTGTTTATGTGTAAAATCTACTTAATTACACATTCCATGCCTACTGCTTTAATTTAAGTTTGTTGTTTTTCTCCAATTGGAGTAGTTGAGTTTCCATACGCCATTGGAATTTGTCCAATTGACGAAGAACACGAATTTTTAAATATTCCCATTTGTGCGAAAAGTCAAAGACCAGACCGTATTTTCGATACAACAGCTGATTGGCATCGATATTGCGTGCAAGAAAACATCGATATTTGGGTAACGCGGTATATTTTCAGGACACTGAGCGCGAACTTTGAAAAATTTAAAATGAAAACAATTGTTAAACATTTTTCCTTAATTTATTTATATTCTTGAAACTGAAATGCCCTGTGGTGTCTAATATGCTCACAATTCAAACATTTTCAAGTTAAAAACAGCGATTTGTTAGTTAAATTTGTGTAACAAGTTGTGTGTACATTTTTCGATAATAAATTACGTCCTAGCACTTGTATAATCGGTACTTTTGTGCGATAGACGAAAAGTGTAATCGATACATCGAGTGAGCAAAGCAGTGCTACCCATTCCAGGACAGAGTTTGGCGCACATTTTAAAAGATTAATTTAATGAATTTTAAATAATTTGGAACTATTTGCTCAATTAAGTAGTTTGTACCTTGCAAGCGCATGTTATAAAGGTTAAATTTTATGCCACTAATATATGCATCAAATTAAGGGGTTTGATACCTTAAAAACCCCTCAAATTAACACCTTAATAAAACCCAATCAAGTTGCGTGTTTACAGCATTAAACAATTTCGTCTTTAATGGCCATCAAACAGCTTGACATAAATCAAGCACCTGGTTTTTACCTAAGCTAGTCCTTTACCCAGGAGGCACCCATGACAGACAGTCGGACCTACATGAGCGTAACGAATGCTCTGATCAAATGCCGCAGTTTGGCCAATGATGAAGCCATCAACATTTCGATTTATACATCCATACACCTTCCAGGCCTGCTGCGGACTTTATTGATTTTGATGGCTGGGCACAGCACAGTACAAAGTGATTTATCGCAGATCCTGCGGCAAAGCAGTGCACCCAAAAGAGAGAAGAGAAACCACACAGAAAGGCCATGGCAGAGGGGCAGACACAAATACGTGAACGATACGAATCTGTCGATAAGTTTTGGCGGCGTTTAAGCGGCACTCGAGGCACTGGCCGGGCCATCTCGGCACCGCCTACAAGACGTCAACACCAAGAGAGAGAAACGATTGCTGGACGATGGACGATGGGATGGGTCGGACATGATGATGAACTTATCTACATCTCTTTTGGGATTGCTTAACGTGTTTGTTGTTGTTGTTGTCTGTGTCTGTGCCTTTGTCATTGGTCCACGCTGCGGTGCAGTGGCACTCTGCTGGCAGATCAAAAGATACGAACCAAAAACCTGCGTCTGTGTGGGCCTAGAGGAGCAGGAGGCGGCGCAGTTTAGGGTCTCTCATCTGCAGATAAGCGCGCCGCTTGTTTATTAAATATTATTAATTATTAATCAAAGGAGCAGGCAGTGGCGGCAGGCAGGCAGCAGGATATGTGTTCTGTTGCTCAAAGTTTAGAATTTCACCCCCGCCAAACGGTAGCCAAGAAAAATATCAAATTTCTCGCTCTCTCTCGCGAGTAAATGCAATTAATTTGTTGCTTGCACAATGCACAAAGCGAGCATAGAGCAAGGGTTTGCTTTAGGGTTTAGGGTTCTCCCTCATCGGATAGGGAATACAACTAATTTGGGAGCAGAGTCTCTCTCTCACATGTGTGTGCTTTGGCCCCTAATCCTTTCACTAGTTGTTTTGCTTTCGGCACCTTTTGGTAAACGTGAGCCGGCTTGAAAGGGATTTCCAGCGATCGGTTCGCCTTGATTAGAGCTCAATTTACACCATCAAGGTGTGCGCAGAAGATGAAGACGAAGACGCAGAAATCGAGCTGCCTCTCCACCTACAACAAAAGATTTCGATTTTGGCGTGGCACATATGGTTTTCAGCATCTAAACCCGATCAAAGGTCATGTAATGGCACAGGGGATAGATCTTTGGGGAGTGGCCTTCCATAGAATGGAAAAGGAACTCCAATGAAAGAGGATGCCCTCACATGATCCTTGCAACTAATTGTAGTTGATATCTGACATCTCTAATGATCGAACAAAGACCAATCGGGCAAGGTCTAAATGCACTCTTCCTGCCCACATTTCTAGCAGCCAAAAATCTCTATAAAATTCAACATTCGTTGCGCTAAACCTGAGAGGTTTCACTGCCATCTACGGCTACTCATTTCAAACTTCCTCCAGTTAATGCCCAGCTTGTGAGTATGGGCAAAATGGATGCCGTCTTTGATATTTCAGTTAATCGTCCGGCTAAGTCGGCGATTAATTTTACTGCTTATTTTGTTTTCACCCATTCGTAATAAAAAATGCCATAAGCTCCAGCCTCAGTCTTCCCCTCTGTTGGCGGCAAATATAAAATTCAAAATTTATTGTCTTTATGGGAATGCTGCGTTCGCTGCCCAAGCGACAACCTTTAGCTTCTGCAAAAAACACACAACAAAAAAATACCCAAAGATGCTGCGAATTTGTTTGCCGCCGCTTCTCTGATGTCTCCCCAATGTCTTTCTCTTTGGGGTTTTTTTCTTTGCCCGTTTCTCTCTCGTTTGGCGTTCAATATTTTGACAGCATTGTGTGTTGAGTTATAGAACTGAATTAATTTGCCAATCAAAGTGGATAGATAAAGGGAGAGCGTGGAATTTGATGTCAAGGCAACCCCTCTAGAGGAGGGAAATTGCTGTGATTGGTAAAGGTTCGTTGCACAAATTATTTAACAAGCCAAAGCACCTGATGCCGGTACATGCGTATCCCCCCACGGCCCAACATTCTGTACAATGCGAACGCGGACAGGTGTCCCAGGATCCCAGGGTCCCAGGGCGGACGTCCTTTGGGTGACGCTCTATTACACACACATTCACACGCACAATTGGGCACTTAACAATTTTCGAAAACTTTACTCAAATTACATAGCCATCCACACCCGTGCCCACATACCCGCTTCCTCCTGGTGGGGTATTCATGCCGCCGCTTGTTCGGTTCCCGCGCAATTTCCATTTAATATCAGGTTGGAGAACCATGAATTATAAACCAAACCCCCCCACAATGGCTCTTCTTTAACGCATGACACTCATCCGTGGTGGGGTAGAGACAGGCCGGAAGGAACAGTCCTTAATTATAGACTCCTCACTGTACTCGTTCTGTTCTCTGTGTTTTCCACAAAGTTGCCTTTCATTTGTCGCATGTTTGTACACAACAATTCCAGTTCGATTCGCTTTGCTTTTGGCTTACGGTTCCGCTTCAACGACCCCGTCATTTAATGCCATGAAATGATTTTACTTTCCATCAGCGGAATGTCTATAATTAATGCAAATATTTTTGCCAAAGATTGACAGAGTTTTGCAGCTCTAAAAATAAATAATGAAAAGAGCCCAGACAACGGTAGTGGCAAGGTTTCTTTACTTCGAAGAGTGCCCATTAAAGATGGATAAATATTGAGTAAAAGAGAGTGCACTGGATGGTTAGTTGCAAATCTTTAAAGAGCCGAAAGAATTCAAAAAGAAATGCAAAAGATTCCAATTTTATTGGCAAATCCTGTTGAACCACTTTGGGTGCAAGCATTCTAAATATTTTTCTACTAATTTCTATTTAATGATATCTTTCTTGCCTGCTTATAAAACTGTGTCAACCCAGGAGCAGCTCCACTGCCACTCGTACCACTAATCTGAACACAATTAGTTGGCCATAACTAGCTGCCATATAAGAAGTGGGTAGCAGTCCAACGGCAAGCTGATGATGATGGCGATGGAAGCAAGTTCATAAATTGGACAGGTTTTTCCAATAGACAAATTGATGTGGCTCGATAGGAGCCGAGCCGTGCTGTGGCCATAATTGAACTGTAAATGGTAAAAATATTTATTGTCTTATCACATCGTATAACTCGCTGTGTCACAACCCGACCAGAAGCAACAAATTACCAAAGAGTTTTGGGAGTTTGGGAGGAATCTACCGCTAGAAGCGCATCTCAGGAACTGTCTTCCTTCAGCTTTGAATATTGCACTTTTAGCATACAAATAATATTCATCGTTATCGTTATTAAGTTATGTTGCTTTCCCGCTAATGCCCAGCAGAGGACAGAGCACTCCATTCGCAGTCGCAGTCGGGATGCGGGATGCGGAATGCCGGATCCATTCCCTCTGTTCCCTCCGTTCTGCTGTGCCAGTGGCCAACAGTTGGCCAACTAAATGCGCTAATCCGCGTGTTGTCAACTTCATTAGCCGATAAACACGCCGACACATTAAATTGGCAGCAGGCTGAGGGCCGCTGCGAGACGGGGATTATGGCCGAGTACTAAGACTGGGACCCAGACTTTTGCCTGATTTCTGATTTCTGCGGCTTCCATTTGAAGTTGCCAACGAAAAATTGCTGCCACTTGAATTTTTAATGCCCATAAAGTATGCAGCGCGGGATGCAGTGCAGCCAGAGCCAGAGCCAGAGCCAGAGTTCCAGGCAGCAGAAGGAACTCCCCCCCCCAAAGAAAGTTCACATAAAATACGATGGCTTAGCTTTTGTCTGGCTCTGACTGTGGACTCTCGTTTCTCCCCTTCTGTTCTTTGGGTCGTTTGGGGCCCGTCGTCAGGTGTGTAATTCGATATCTTTGCTCTTTAATCCCCGGCATCCCAATCGCCAGCCATTCGTTTGTGCGCGCGATTTATGTACTACATTTGTATTTCTGCTCTGCAGATTGTCGAGGAACAGGCAGTCAGGGACAGGGACATGGCAGGGGTGTACCATCCGGCCGTAGGACAGGGACAAACAAGGATGCGCCACTAAACAATAATTATGACAACAATAAAAGCACGCAAATCCTTAATTTACTAAAACAAAGGCCACAGTTCGCTGCGGCAGTTGGACTGCTTAACTCACGACTGTGGTTTCTAGAGAGAAACCCCCATCCAAGATTAGGGGGCAATTACTGCTTCACACGAGCAGCAGACGAGTTGCCTGGATGTGCCACTCCACGGGCAAAGTTGTTTTGACAAAAGCAAATGTCGGGGCCACTGGGAGGCAGTCTAAACTAAGCGCCGGCGTATAGAATATCCTTACGTGGAATTGGGGAAACTGTAGACATAGTTCCAAAGGGAAATAGGAGAAGGAACAGAAGGAGGTGAAAATGTGATCTGTGAGTTTTACTTTGGATAAATTCAAACTTCTATTGCTACAATTTTAGAATCAAAGTACTTTCTCAGTAATTTAATTCCTGTTTCCATTCAACTCAACCCATTTGGAGGTCTCGCTTCATCAACTCTGGTTAGCTTTCCATTGGGGGAGACTGCCAGAGTCCAAAACTGAAGCACGCGTTCGAGGCGTACCCCCCACCATTACAGTCATTACAGTCATTACACGACACAACTCTTTGTTTCTCTTTCGACAATAACAAAGCTCCGAATGCCTCAATGTTCAATGCCCAATTGAAGACATAATTACTACTTAAAAGCGGCATTAACGCTATCACTTACACATGTCACATGCTCTTCGAGGCATTACGGAAGACAATAAAATATGACCAGAGGAGGAGGCCATGGCCCGGACCAGACCGCGCCACAACATCATCTTCAGCGTCATCGTCGTCAAAATAACAGCCTCATCATGATCTTGACTGAGCACAAAACGGGTAAATACCCCAGCTGTGGGGTATTCATTCGTGCCTTGGCCTGATCTGATCTTTTGTACTGTGAAGGAGATCTCTCTCTGAGATTGTTGGGACCTGGGAGCTGGGGGTCGTCCCATCATCATCAGCATTCGAGCTCAACTTACAGCAAAACACACAGCCCACGACGAGGCTTCCATGAGTTACCGTTCCCTGTTCCTACGCTGAGGGAGAGGCCAGCGGAGACTCTGTGTCGGAGGCTGCGGCATATTGATTAATGGATCAAAGTCTTTTGACACGAGCTATTTTGGTAAGAAATCCTTTTGTTGATCTTTACACAAACACACACTCGCATTCACTCGTGATATTTAAACTTTATTTTTTTCTTTCCCTGTTCCCTGTTCGTTTCATCGCTGCCTTCGTGGGTTATTCAATAAATTTTCAATTTTGACTGATTGTGAGTGGAATAAGGTCGTTCGTCAGTCGTCAGTCGGTACCGAACGCTTTGCGGCGCGTTATGTATGTGTATGATGTATGTTTATATGGTATATGGATATTCTATAGGGTGTTCGTCGTAAGCGGGGGGAGCGTATAACGGGGGGTAATGGTGTGTGGATGGTGCGGCTGCGGGTGCGGGTGGGTTCTTTCTTGCGCTTTTGCTTGTTGTAATACCCTGCTCATTGTGGCCGCCGCTGGTGTTGCTCTTGTTGTTGTTGCTGGTGTGTTTTTGTGTTATTATTATGATTGTTGTTATTGTATTATTGAATTGTTTGGGCCAAAGCACTTGGGAGCCATATAGCCTATTGCTCATATGCCGTAGGCAGCACAGTGGTTTTGATTGTATAACTTTAGAGAAGTTTTTGAATATGGGAAAATAATATGAGAATGGTAGGGTTTAGGGTACGAGTTGACACTGTACACGAAAATCGCTCTTTGTCTTTTACAGTTAAATGTCGCAAAACCACCACCTGCGTTTCAAAGATCATTATTGAGCTGCAGCCGTTTTCGCTTATCTTTGCGATCTCTCGATTTTCGCTTTCTACCTGCTTGCCCTGCCAAGTGCTCTCTCGAAGCTCGCTCTTCGTTGCCTACGCCTCTATGCTGACGAGCGAAGCTGCGCTCAGCGAAAATACAGTTATGCAAAGGGCACGCAAGATTCACTCCCGCAATGTGGTTGTCATAAAAAAATAAATAATTGAATACTAGTTCTGGCCCATGTCAATGTTTAATCGTAGTAATTATTTGCACACTTGTGGATATAAAACATTATACCCACAATAATTATTAAATATGTGATACACCACTTTTCCTCTAATATGTCCCACTGTACATACATACCTTTACCATTACGCGCTGGCACGGAATCGAACGGCAAGAGGCAATCGCTGTACTTGCGTGGTGGCTACAAACACAGTTCTTCTGGATTCTGGCTCTCCTCGTTGTTCTCTCTTTGTAGTTGTCGCTGTTATTCTCTCTCGATCTTGTGCTGGGGAGTTTGTATATGTTTACAAATCGTGACTCAAGTAGTAGCGTCAATACGAAAATGTTTCTCCAATGCAAATCCCCCACTCCCCCGCTCAAACATCCATTGTGGAGGCTTCTCCACGGCATTCAGTGGAATTGTATTGTGTGTGTGTGTGTGTGTCTGTGATCTTCGTCAAGGCAGCCATGAAGATGGATTTCTTTCTTTCAGTCTTGATTTTCGTCAGAGAAAGAGAGAGAGAGAGATAGAGAGAGTAAAGAGATTTTTCTTTAGGGCCAGCAGCAACAAAGCCAAAGAAGTTGTTTTGTTGTGGCAAGCATTGTTGGCGGTGATCAAAGCGGCTTGGCGCGTCTCACATATGAGTTGTGTTGTTCATTTACCCCCACACCGCACCACAGATTGTGGTCAAAAGGGGGAGTCAATAGTTGTGTATACCTTGCGCAGCATGGGTACCACGAATGGGAGAAGCAGTTTGTGGAGCGAAGGAATCTTTCAGAGCATCTGCAAGAGGGTATCAAAGCTTTCGGTTACACTTAGCTTTTTCCCTTTTATTAAATTGTAATTACTCATGGTACTGGCACTGCAGCTCCCAAATCCAGCGCGCTCTCTGTGCCACGAGTCGGCGTCAGTTGTTGTGGCACCGTTAGAATCTTTTGTTAGCAAAACGCGTGCCTCTCCCCATGGAATAGAGTGTGGCCAAAACAATTGATTACGACGAATGCGGTTACCAGATGACCACGACTGTGCCCCCTCCGGACTCAAACAGGAGGCGGATCGAGGCAAGTAAGCGATCAAGATATGAAATTCCCCATGGGTCCCATACAAAGTCATTCCAGTTACATGGAAAACGGAGACCGGTCCTGATGCTGCTGCTGCTAGCCCAATGATTGATTGCAGCGAATGATCCTCAGAGGAGTCCAGGGACTCTGGTCTGTCCGGCTTCTAGCATGGCCTGTCAACACGATTTGGCCAAACAAAACAAAAATGCGGAGATGGGCAGGACAGAGCATACGTCAAACTGGCCCACAATTGCAGTCAATGATGGGCAGGAGGGGTAGTTGCCGTTGCAGTTGCAGTCAAGAAAATGGCAGTTGCAAAATGACAGAAGATGCAGTTGCAAGCAGACCCTAAGGAAAAGGAACAACTCGATTGCAGTTGTTTGTTGTCAGCTGGATATGTCCTGTGTCCTGTGTCCCGGGCATCCTGGGGTCTTCGGGTTGCTGCTTCTCTCCTGGCTACTGCGGAAGCAACAATGAGAGGCAAATGTCCGAACTAAATGGCACATGGAATGGCCCACACTTTGCACTCAATTTGTGCATCTGAAAGAGGAGAGAGACACTTCCTGCAGTCCGTGTTAATCCGGTGGAGAGGGAGAGCCTTTGCATACACACTGAGAGAAATAATGACTTAAATTAGTTGAGAAGGGATACATTTATTGAGGGTGTAACACACTTATTGAGGAATAAATAATTTGTATGGTTCCACTTCCTTATATTTCTGATCTTCCAAGCAAGATACAGATCCTGAGATCACTTCTAAAATTCTTCACCATTCCTAACAAATACAATTTTAAACATTTCCCTCCAACACTCTCTCTCAGTGCATTCCTCCTGAATGCTAATTCCTACAGTAGGATTAAATGAAACAATTCATGAGCAAAAACCCTAAACTGTCAACAAATAAAACACAAATCAGCAATAATAACCAGACTATTGTCGTGCACAGATCGAGTGTGTGAGTGACTGAGGAGCCCATCATCCTCAATCAAGTAGGGACAAAAAAGGGAGCTCAGCCAGCCATCCATCCAGTGAAAACACACACAGAAAAGGTTGGTTTTCGCTTGAAGGCAGTCAAATCATATCGCCTGGAATGTGTAGAGCATGGCATAAATGTCACTTTGAATATGCATTTTGTACAAGAGATGACGATGACGACGACGACGTAGCGTAGCGTGAAGCCGAATGGCAAGCCCAACTCCAAGTCCAAGCCAAAACGATACATCATCGCAAAAGCAACAGGACTCAAGAGTCCAGAGTGAGAGACCAGAGACTGAGAGTCGGAGACGAAGTTGTTGTTCGGGGGCATGGTGCGCGCCTTTTGTGCCAAGTCAACATGATCTCATCTGTCATAGATCGATCGACCTGTTCCAACAGCGAGAGAGCCAGCCAGCCAGCCAGCCAGCCAGCCAGCCAGCCAGCAGCGAGTAATTTTTGTGAAACATTTAACTGGGTAGCAGCAGTGGCACTCACAGGAGGGATCCCTGTACCAACTCTGTACCTGCCTTCGAGCAGCGGGTGATCCGAAGACAACGAACCAAAATTCCACCAAAAAAAAATACACACGAATACAATTCAAATTTGTTGTCGGAGATTAAAACACATTTGTTAATTTGAATAGGTTTCAGCCTGGTTGCACAAACTGTATTGTCCCGCCCTGCCCCCATGTGTCCGCTTTGCCTCTCTCTCTCTCTCTCTCTACCCGCTGCAACATGGGGGGACAAGGCAAGTCGGGTGATCTTATCTGAGAAGGTGTTGCTGTTTACATTCCCATTAGATGTGGGATTAGAGCTTGATGGGCTTGCCATTTGTGACAGCTCTGTTGGGACTTGGGGGACTCTCGGATTGTGGGACTGGCGGATTGTCAACGGGTTTGGTATGGGATTACTTTTGGTATTATTATGAAACACGCAGCAGGACATCTGCGGCTCTGATGAGATTCCCCAGAAGAACGCTAGCTGAGACTCAATTACGGACAGCCAGAAAATCGCCCAGCCAGAAAAGCTCTCCAGAAAGCTTATAGCGGGAGCTCTCTGAAGCTTTAACTGTTAGCTCAAACAAACAGTTTTTTCGAACACGATTTTAAGTGCCAGCTACTAAGAGCTGAAGTCCCGATCCAGTAGCATATATAAATAAAACTACAACAAATAAATGGAAAACATTTTGATATCAATTTAATTGTGGCTCATTTGCATGTAGCACCCAGCTGGACGTCTGCAAGTTCGAAGAGATTCAGTCTGATTCAGGAATGCCAGGCCGGAGAGCAATAGAATTAAGAAATGGCCAAAAGGGGATTGTCGACATGACAATAATGCCAATCTACGACTTATGGAAAAAGAAAGACAGCGACACAGAGAGACAGAAACACAGAGAGCGGTGCAGAGAGCGCTGCAGCTTTGGAACTGAAATACGAAGCAGAACGAATTGCATTTGTGTGAGAATTGAGATGCAAAGAGAGAGAGAGAGAGGAGCAACTGCCCGGCTGCAGCTCGTACAAATCCATAATTATGCGCGGCTGATGTCTTTATTAAAGCTGTGGCAACAACATGTGGCCGAGATGCAGCAGACAACTTGGGGTTCTGGTGCCGAGAGTGGGAACCTCAAAAACGTTTCGCCGCCGAAACGATCGTCACATAATTCTGACTCACATAAGCCAGATATGTTGACAACGTTCAAGAAAAGGGCACAAATGATTACACACTCACACGCACACACACTAGGAGGAGATACACAAAAAGAGACACCTGAAGATTAAGCCAGGTTATTTCTTATGTCGTCCCGACATTTGTCCCATTATCACCACAGACAGCAGCGGCTTCCAACTGGCAAAAGGGTAAACTGCTACCTCGACAGATCAGCATTATAATAACGCTGCACCATACGGATGGATATGTGTATATACGACTGTGTCTAGTCAAACAAATAACAACAACTAATAAGTTGCATAGCAATCAAAGCTGATCAATGCCGACAAAAGGCAAGGGACAGCGGCAAAGGCCGCTGCAGCCAGCAGCTGAATCCGGCCCATACGTGGGCCAGCCAAGTGAGAAAAATGCAGCCAAAAAAAGGCACAACAACGGGCCAAAGCAGATGCTGGAGTTGGTCAGAGGGAGCTGCTGCTGGTGCGGCTGCCTGTAAAATGCATAAGAAATTATTATTTAAATTTACAGCGACAACAACTGGCAGCGACAGGCAAAGAGTTCGAAAGGAAAACAAGACGCAGGAGGCAGGGGAAATCAACCAAAAGTAAGCCACGAATGCGGGAATGCTCTTACGTTACAGGAAATGAGGTGGGAAACGTGATTTAGATTAACATAACGGTACATAACATAGAAAGTACTGTCCGAATGGTACTCATAATTGTAGAAGCAACAAATATATTTTTAATCTTCACAAACAGAGGAAACAGATACTCGTAACTCTATACAATCGTCATGGAAAAATCAATCCTCATGATTACTTACAAGTTTCTGTAGCTCAAAATCCCCTTAATTTTGTTATTAACATTTTCAACTATTCGTAGTTTTCCACTGACAAGCGTTAAACATATTAAAGTTCGCAGCAAGTCATGAGACTGCTCGTGATTAATCTAGTAAATTGTACATTTATAACTCTATAAAAATAGATTGAAGGCTAGGAAAGGTAAGAGCATTCAAATACACCCCAAAAGTTGGTATCTATCCACCACATTTCAAATCTATTCAAGAGTCAAATAATGGGCGCTACTACGTACCATTCTGAGTCAACCTCAAAGACCCCAAGCCCAACCTTTTCCTCCAACTCCATACCGACTGCGAGCTCCAACTCCAGCGACTCATTAATGTGTATCTCAATTATTGAACACTATAAATATTTGGGCTACCTGTCGATATGGCCGGGGGTCCAACAACAAAACCACCGAACGAATGTTCGCTTTCGAGGCTACTTAAGCGAACCCTTAAGAGATGGGGACACATACGATACTCCCATCCCAATCCCAATAGTCATCATCATCATCAGCACATAGTCCGTAGTCGTATTTAAATAAATGTGTCCCACAGGCCCAAGAGAGAGGAGAGACAGAGAGGAGAGTGACTTTTGTGGCTTGTGTGTGTCGATTGTCGGCATTGGCTTGGCTTTTCTTTTGATTTCGGAAAAGTTGCTGTATTTTATAATAAGCCTGCCGTGTATTTCTCATAATCATAAATATTTTTGTACCTCATAACAAATGGAGAACCCATAATCCCAAGCCCAGACTCCAGATCCACTCTCCCCTTCCTGTTTTATATTATTTTGTTGTTGTTTTCCGCTCTGCTCTTTTTATGTCCCAAAAGGTTTGAATTTTTTATTATTATTATTGATAGTATTTGAAATAGTGGGGACTCGGATTCAGTATCGCAGTGGAGTGGAGCTCCAAATGCATTCTGCCCAAATTATATTGCTCTGAACGGAGTCATAATGATAATGCTGATGTGTTGATGAGGTGCCGTTTGGTCTTTTCTTCTTTTCGGTTTGCCTTCTGGAGCTTAGAGGAACGAGCAATATGGAGCGTGATTTTGCTTGATGACAGACAGATAGATAGACCTTTTTTTTTGGGAGAGCTTAAACGGTTACAATAAAGCGCTTATCGCTGGGATTTTGGTGGGGAGCAAACACGAGAGAAAGAGAGCGAGTGTCGTGTTAGGTGCGGGATGTTTTCGTTGATCTTGTTGAGTGCTATAAAAGTTTAGTGGAATTTAATGAGACGCATGCTAATTGGCGAGGTACATATTTTATGTGCAAGAAAATGTGGAAATCGATCTTAAAGGTAAAATGCTAAACAAATGCATTCGGCTGCTCGTAGAGCTTTCATGTCTGTGTTTCTGCCCGCTGCAGCATTTAGCATGCAGCTTTGATCAGCCTGAGGGCAGAGTGAGAGAGACATAGCTAAAAAGCTCTAGGCATATGTTTTGAACAGCATTGAGATTGTGTGCGTAAAATGAGATTGCAAACATCACACGTACACATGCTGAAAGCTCCTAAGGAAATCTAAAGATTTCTAGGAAATTCTACTTGTGATATCAAGAAATGGCGAGAACTGTTTCCATTTCGCTTCCCATCCTCAACTACTTCAAAATCCCCCACAGCAATTAGTTATCCCTTTGCTAAGACTTACCACCACACAACTTCAATTAAACGTCAACTAAAACTTTGGCCACACACTGCTTAAGAGAGCTTATGGCAGCCCCCAAACAGCCACCCTTGAGGTCAGCCAAACAGCTGTAACGGCACCAACAACAGTAATTGTAATTGTAACTGTAACTGCTGTCGAGTGGGCTGCCGTGTGTGTGCCTTTGAATTGGCATTGAGAACGGTTGCCATAATGACGAATGTTTAGCTATTCATATGTCTGAACCCCCTTCGGAGTTGGATCTCCCTTTTTGCAAGAAGTGTAACGTAAGCGTTGAGCCCCGAAGGGGCGTCTTGTTCTCTGAGAGAGAGAGAGAGAGAGAGAGAGAGAGCCAACGGAGCACATCATTAGCCGAGTAACCATGGAGCACACTTGAGGTTGACGCACGAGCCGCATGAGGCCCAAGACGGAGCATTTTGCGGGTCTCATGTGTCAAATTGAGTGTCAACTGGCAATTTGGGCAGCACTGCCACTGCCACTGGCACATGGAGGCACATAGGGTAAAAGTCAAGTGTCATGTTTATCATAAGCCTATTAAAGAAGCTTTTTCTTTATTTTTGGTGGGGGCAGCCGAAGCCCCAGACCCTTAAATAATCCCACAACTCCCGTACTCCCACTGTTTCCCCAGGGAAGCTATAAAAATAAGAAAGCAGCGGGCAATGGGCACACATTTTTATGACATTTACAATCAGAAAGTGCAAATATGTTCCAGGGGAAACCCTTCTTGCTGATCGGGTGACACAGCTGCTTGCTTTTGGTACCAGAAAGTCAAGCAGGAGCGAGGGTCCCAGGTCCATCGCTTGTGGTCGGGCATATCACATTTCAAAGCCTACTAATTTAACAATATTCTCATTAATGTGTACACAGGACGAACGCAACAGAAAGGGGCGGGAATCGATTCGAGCTAGTAATCCGCATTTTGTTACAATTTGCTCAGGGAATTTCTACTTCTGCTGCTGTCACCTCTGCCAGGCAGAACTCTCTCTCTCTCTCTCTCAATCGTTCACTGTTTGTTGTAGCTATTTCAACAGATATCCTCTGGCAGCAACAACATAATCAGAGACTGAATCTGAGAGTTCTACTCCTGTGTGATCCGATCGGGCTCTGCTCTGGGGAGGGTTGTTTGCTTGTTAAATACGAAAATCGTTACAAATCGTAGCCCTTGCCTGTGCCTGTGTGTCTGAGAGTTGATTCGCATTTTCTTTTATTGTTATTTTGCACATTTGTCTGCTCACGACACACGCTGGGCTTGTTTGAACAAGTTTGCGTATAAATATTATATATGTATTTGCCCATCAGCTTATCACTATCTCCGATCTCCGATCTCCGATCGTAACTTGATACATTTTTACATTCCGTGGAATAGCGGCAAACAAATGGGGAATTACTCAACTCGTACCAGCGCTAACCTTCCTCGCTCCCTTTCTCTGTGATCCCTGTCGGTATTATGTTTTATTATGTTTTATAATCTATAGGGTTAGCTGTCTGTCCCTCTCTTTTATAGGGTTTTTCGGTGTGCGTGTTTCTTGGGTGGGTAGTGTGAGAGCCATGGCCAGGGCTATGCGGTCAGCAAGCTTAACTGTTGTAGGCACAACTATGCAAATTTCAAATGGAAAAGAGAGTGAAAGAGAGAGCAGCAAGCAGGGTGTACGAGAGAGAGGGAGAAGAGCACAGCAAAGGCTTATCAAGATCCTGAGACTTGTTTGATCGAAACTGAACCTAAGCCTTATGATATCTTCATTATGTTTCATCAAAGGCTCAAAATGATTTATTTTGTAAGAGAAAATCCGAAGAACAAGCAAGGGAATAATATTTTTCAGCATTTGTAAACGAAATATAATAACGCGTTGAGAAATATTTGACATTTTGGATGTATTTCGAATGATCGTTTGGGTAAATAATTTGAACGAAAGTTAGCTCAGAAGATGTCTATAAAATATTCAAAAAGTTCCCTCAATCTTAAAAAATGAATCAAAATATTTTAAAACTAAAAAATATATTTTATAATCAAGCGCAAAAAGCGTAGCCATGTCGAAGCCAAACCAAAGCCACAAATAATGGTTCCACTTATGTTGCCTGATTAGTCAATACAAAGAGTTATAATTTACGATCAATCCCTGCCACATTCTTACCCCGACCCTGCCACAGAAGCTTGCTGCAGAGCAGGGGCTTACAATGTTGCATGTTCGTAGCGTGTTTTGTGTGTTGCATTTGAAAATTTTCAATTAAAATTGAACGTGATTGAAAATGATGAAAGTGCGAAGTGGCAAAAACCAATTTCTCAGCACAGTGCGCGATAATTGCAGGCAACTACGCGAAGAAGTCGAAGGATCTGTGTTGTGGGATGCGCTGCCAAATGGCTTGGTGCCGCATAATACAAAACCTTATTTATGGTAACGCAGTGGCAAGCAGGCAACAAGCTCATCTTCGGTCTGTATTTGTATCTTTATCCCCCATCTGCATCTGCATCTGCATCTGCATCTACATCCTCCTGTTCCAGCCAGTCCGCGATTTGGCCAAACAGCACAATTTTCAAAGCAACAAATGAGAGTGTAAATTTGCGTGTAAACACTCGGGTCACCCGCTGACACATGCTAGAGGAGCTAAGAGCAATCTCGGAGACTGCAACAGGCACTGGATTAGACGACTGACTTCCAGTTGGGGCATGGAGCATGGGCAGGGGCTGCTGCTGCTGGTAGTGGCTGCCTGCCTGCCCGTCGGTAGTCACAGGAGTCGACGCGGGCGCATGCGCATGCTCACACAGCGCATAAATTTATCGGATCGAATATAAATTATATGCAAGCCAATATCAGCAGAGAGCAGACCACGATTCTCCGCTCTCCATGCCCCGCCACACACTCTCGCAGAGTCGTCTCCATGCCGTTCCCCCAGTTACCATCTCCATTGGCCATTCCCAGTGATAAAAAGGAACTCAGCATGTCGCCGCGGATGCGTTGATCATTCATTATTTAAGGATTGAAAAGTTAATTAACATTTTTGCCCAGCCAAAAGCTCTCCATTTCGCTGTGACTTGGATTCAGACGCGGACTCGAACTGCCACTGCCACTGCCACAGCGACGCGACTCCTCCTCGCTCCCAGTCCCGATTTACGAGAGGTAACTTTTAGTAGATTTTTTTTTGGCCTACCATTTTATGCCGCACAGCGAAATCAAGACCAGAGCGACCATTTGGACATTGCCATGACTCTGTTGAAAAATTATAGAAAATTGTTATTGATACTCGCCAAGGGGGAAAATGGTAACGCGGGGCCTGGCTGCTGCCACAATGAATGTCTCAATTTGTAAACTGGGGTAGATTTGGGGGTCTTTTGTATGCAGAAACGTTAGGAGGAAAGTGGCTGAGTATTTGAGCTACAAAATGAAAGTGATCGAACAGGAAGACAACATTTTGGCTATATTAATTCTTTCTTTATTTATTTATATATTCTTTATTCAAAATTCTAAAAAAGTAAACGTGAATTGAAAACATTGTGTATATTTTATTAGTAAAGTTTGACGTTGAAAATCAGCTAAGAATCATCCAATATTTCCTCTGTAAGAGTGTGCAACTAACGTTGTAAATATGTCCCTCTGGCTCCACCTTTTCTCTCTCCCCAACAGACCATCTCTTCCACTCGCTCGAAAAGTTCTTCTCACAAAACTTTGTCAATCTCTGTTGGAACTCCTTGAGAACCTGTTCCCACAGCAGCAGCATCCAAAAGTGGCAGCCAGCAACCAGCGGCTAATCAAGTGCCACTCCTCGGTCTCGGACTCGGACTCGGACTCATACTAGGCCATGGGAAAATCCACATGGAGTAACAGTGAATAAATCACAGACATTCCCCAGCTACCAGAACTAATCAAATGGGTAAACAGAGGTATGAAAATATCCTTTTCTTTTTGCAAGCACTTTCACTCAGTCTCTCTCTCTCTCTTGCGCTCTCTGTAGCTGCTGGGATCCCCAGGAACGAGCAATTAAATTAATGTCTTAATCTGCGTTTATGGCAAACACCCTGAAAATATGGCAAACACCCCTGTGGCAGCCATGGGGGGACTACGGGGACTACGGGGACTATGGCTAAGCCCACTTCTACCCAAAAAGAAGGCCACTTGGCAGCAATAACAAGCAACAAAAGTCAATAGAGCGTAATATAAATCCGTGTAATACTCACAGACAGAAAGATACAGAGAGACAGAGAGAGCGATAGAGAGAGAGAGAGAGAGAGTGCAGCCAGGACATATGCCCTGGGAGTTGCATATGCTTTGGCCCGTTATCCCCTAGGGGGTTGCCTTTTCGGTTAGATTAAGACCTCAAGCACACAGGCCAGGCCAGGCCAGGCCTCTGGTTTCCATTTCAATTTGTATTCGAGTTTCCCCCCCAACACTGCTACATGCGAGTATTTCCCCTGTAATATCGTAGCGAATCACAACAGCAACAACAGTCATACAAAATAAGAAGAGAAAGAGAGAAATATTAACAACTGCCTCAACGTCAAGGTCTCCTTAACGGTGCCAAAGCCGAACTAATGCCACAACCCCTCTCCACTCAATGGATCGGATCAGCTTCATCCTCATAGCAGTGCTCATCCATGGATTTTGATTCTCTCGCTCGCTCTCCAGGCGAGATTCAGTTCGCGTATTTAGGGTGCGAATTTCCAAATATTATTTTATTTATTTGAATCTGAATGCTGCTGGCCCAGCAACTGAAACAAAACACTGCCAGCCATGCTTACAAATAATTCCCAATTTGGTATTTCAAAACAGAAAGAGCGGAAGAAGGGGTAGGGAGAGAGAGAGAGAGAGAGAGAGGGAGGAGTGCGAACGCAAAGCCAAAAGGTAGAGCATTCAATCGAGAAGTTTCACAATTGTCGTGGCTGAGCTGTGGCTAGGCAATTGGAAGTGACAGACGAAAAACAGTGGGACAAAAGTTGGGTAAAAGAAATGTGTTCTGGGTTCCGTAATGTGCAGATTCCTTAAGAAAAATATGCGAACTAGCAGAAAAGTTTGTTGGCGGAGGATATAGAATTATACATTGAAATATAATACTAACACGAGAATAGGTTGATATTTGGTCTGTTTATTCAATGAACTTTGTTGTATTTTTGCGGTCGGAGCTGCACGCTCAAAACTGCAGCAGCAGCCAAAAGCTCAGATCAACCGCAAGAGCGATCTAAGTCGATGCAGAGCGCAAGCTTTGGCGCCGGAGAGTTTATGGCGCTGTGGGTAATTACAAAACAAGAGCAACAAGAGCAGTGGCAGCGCAGCGGCAGAGTCTTTACCTATGCACAATAGATAGCGCCGTGTCTGCCCTGCTTTGAATGTATGGATAATGTAAGAAATGAAATGCCGTCCTGCTGGCAACAAAGTGTAAAGACCAAAAGTCAATTATTATTGTTTTATTATTGCAGAGAAATGGAAAAAGCGATCGGCAAGGATGGGAATAAATTACATTATGAAGAATTGATTATTTATGTACATACATTCTACTAATCCCTGACTCACATTTTAATGTGAATTTCTACAACGTTTAATGACGGCTTAACCAATGCTAGTTCCAGTTGTTGGCCTTCGCTGAAGACTGCGACAAATGCCAGAACCAACTTGCTTTGACACTGACAAATGTAGCCAAAGTTGTGCATTGATTTGACTGACTTAAAGAACGTTCCGAATGCGGAACAAAATATTCGTTGTTTGAGCTAATACTCCATTAACACCTCCACGATAAGTCCCAAAGCAGCACCCTTGAAAGTTTTTCCACTTTCTCCACTTCAGCGACGCTGAAGCACCTTCAAGCAAACACCTCCGCTGGCAGACCACTTGAGTCTGTCACCCAATCAAAAAACCAAGACTAACTTCCTCGTCAAACAAACACCAAAACCCTGCACCACTGTGCTGCCAGGCAGGCGTCTCTTCAGATGAAGGAACACAGAAAATGCCTATGAGCATGATTGTGCGGAACTTATGAGCGGGCAGGGG